GTAAAAGAGCTGCATAGTATATATCTGAAATAGAATTGGCTACCCACAATTATTGGATTCTTGCATTAATCTAGGTTATGAATCTACGTTAATGTCATTAATAGATCTATAAACAAGGACACTTTTTCTGTGCGGGATGTAGTTTTAGTGTAGTAAAATCGATGAATGACGATAATGTAACACGATGCATACGTGTTCATATTGAACAGGTGTTAACTTTAATTAAAAAATATTTGAAGCAAGAATATTATTGGTATCTATGTATGTAAGTAAAGAAAAGCCAATGCATGAATAATAAACGCAATCTGTGGAATGGCGTGAGGGTTTGCTTATGATCTATCTAGGGGTTTGTTACTTATATTTTTCATATTCAGTTTTCTTTCACTCCACACCAGATTAAAAACACAGACCTTAACACATGATAATTACACAATATATGTTGGTTTCGAGATTGTTTCTTGGAAGTCGTAATCGCAAATAAATTTTGCATAAGTCAGTTTTCGGCAGGATTAAAGTAACCTTTTATATTTCTTGATAACATTGTATCATACAATTGTTATCGATTTTATGATCATATATTGTACTATCAGATAAGTATAGATATATTTCCATAAAAGTGATGCATATCAAATTTAAATGGTCTGCATTAGATTTTCTGATTGGCATCTATTCAGTCCAACAGATTGTTCAACAGTTCATTATAAAAGGTGGTGCGTTAGACACTATTCTATTTACAGTGGATTTTAATGAATGTTAGGACAACTGGTTAGTTTTTGATTAAAGCAGTGTGAATATATGAAAGGACATAACAAGTGATTATATGATGTGCTATATAAGTTGTGTTGTTGAAATATTATCCTTTTATATAACCAAGCTTATTCTAGTTTAGTTAAAAGGAAACTAATTAGTGGGCAGCATATTACATCATTATGGACATCTATGTGTATCATTTACCAAATATAGATGACTTTTTACTTCTCTGCTTACGAGTAGTGATGTGATGGGAAATGAAGTTTTTTTTTTTTTAATAAAATGAAATTCTTTAATGGTGGTTCTGCTATTGTCAACGTTAGTGTTTTTGGCACATAGGTGCGCAGATGGAGGATGCTTTAATTTAAGAGAACTGTTAGTTAAAGGTTAGATATGAGATATTAGGAACATCTAAATCACCAAGTTACAATCATGAGCATATATTTTCATTTAAGACTGTTGCGATGTCCATTGCTACAACATACGGCCTCAAATGTTCGAAGGATGATGTGAATTTACCTAAGAAATATATATTTTACTAATTATTGATATTACAATATGATTCTCTTAATGGCAAACATCGGCATCATTGATGGGGCTTAATGTTGTTTTTTTTTCAATTTCCTGTTGAACCATGTCTCCACAGTGTGGTTATTTATGCTATGTCATAATTACAAAACTAATTAAAAATGATCGCGGTTGGCAATATTTTATATATACGTATAATAAAAATACGTTCCATTGTTGCAAACACGCGTAGGTGGGAATAATAACAATGCTATTAAGAAACATTATATGCAATATGATAGAGAGCAGACTGTCTGGACTGGACTGAAATCCAACAGAATAGGAATCGGGACAGTGTGCACAAATTTTAATGGGCCTTATTTGCGCAAAATATACATGCATGCCATTGAATACACAACAAAGGCGCGCATAATTAAATCGCCCGAACGTTTGTCTAATTTTAACTAAAATTAAAAATTAGCTATGACAGTAGAATGATGTAGCTAGTAGATTTTCAAATTTTCGTTCGGTATATGGTTATAAAATTCCATCATTCAACACTGTAAAAAATATCCATTTTTGATGTGGCCGAATTCCGTAGTTTAACACCTTTTTTCTGTTAATCGAAGGATTTTTTGGTAAAATTGTGTTAAAAGCATGAATTATTTCTTCAAATTACGTGTTTTATATATTTCTGTGGAATATTCAGTATTTAACAGGAACTTTCCGTGAAATTTAGGGATAAAATGTTTTATTCCCTTCTATAATGGACTTAATCCTGTTATTTTACGGAATATACGGTGGAATGACAAAGAAGTTCCGTATACATATATAATCATTTATAATAATGATCATGTTATAGTATTCATTTCAATGGATTAACCATAATATGAAGAATCATATTTTGTAACGTTTGGTATATTAATTGAAATGTATATCTAATTTCCATTATTCATAAGATCTATAAAGTGTATTGTTATTCATCATACGGAAATCAGATTGTAAGTATTTTCATAAATATGTAAAAATATGTTTTAATGCCTCGTGTGGTAATGTAATATCTGGTAATCAAGCAGGCTTAAATCCAGATAGTACAACCCGTTGGCCAGTGTAAGTCAGTTTGACTCGATAGCAGAGTCTACCACTGAAAGCCTCCAACCACTGGCGGGTTGTGATACATTGCTCTCGATTCATATATTAGCGAAAAGAGGTTATGGTTAAAGAGTATCTGCGATATCACTTCGGTGGAAGCGGACGTTAGATAAATCTATTTGACGCACGGGTATAAAGTCAATGGTTAATTCAATGAAATTTTTATCATCTTCGTGCTCAGGAAAGAAAATTTACCAGGATTTTTTTTCTGAATTTGAAAATGGAATTTATGTTAATGGAAGGAATTTCTGTAAATTACAGGAAAAACAAATACGGATAAAAGTTTCCTGGTAATTTTTGTTTCCGGAATTTTTTACGTTTTTTCACTGAAATTTTTGTTACAGTGCAGGAGAATAGTTTTGATTTAAAGTCTCTGTGGAATATATGCTAGAGTCGTATCGTAGCATATCTGAACCACTGCATATTTTTGACATTGGTTGGGCATTATGATCATGGAGATGAAAACCCACATTGTAAGTGAAGATATGCCACGGTTTCCAAGGCGCGAATCCAATAACTTGTAAATGTTAATGTTTTATTACTTTAAAGAACAATGTTCGTGTCCATTACTTTTTAATCCACATCTAATTTTATAAGAGATCTTTGCTACGGTTGATCCGTAACAGTCAAAAAGGGAAATCCGTTATTGTTATCAGCAAATGATTTTGTACTCACTGATAATTTCATAAGAATAGCCGTTTGCCACACGATCTGATATAAACTATAACTGATTTTTGGTTTGCGTTATTTCCGAGATCTTTGAAAGCATCTGTTAACCTTTTGTTTTTAATTGTTATACGGCGTGTTATTGTTGTTACAAATGTATTGTGGACTGCTTGCTATAAGATTTGTTATACTTTCTTATCTGTTATTAGTCATGCCTATCTCATAAAATCTAAATGTGTATTACTACACTAACTTAAAATTGATCGATGTTTTTATTTTGTCAATTTTTTGTCAATGTCTATATTCGGCTAATTTCTTTCTGAATATTCTTTTGTTGTTGTTGTTAAAGACATTATTTATCACATATCCATCAATGAGATATTGTATTATTTAATGTTCTCTATTCTTGAAACTATACAAGAAACAAACTGGGAAATGTCATCCTTTTAAACATATATGTGTGGGCGACAGTTGACTTTAACGTGGGTAGTTGCTAAATCCATGCTTTAGGATATATTTCCAAAAAGAAACACGAAGACCAATCTAATTACTACGTAATAAGAGCTTTGTATTAAGAGTCTCGTCGATCATTATTGACATGAGTGACATTAATAGCATCCTGCACAAAGTCGACAATATTTAATGAGATTATCCACGTAATATTGTTTTTGCAGTGGAGAAACTTTGATCTGTATTTAGTTTATTTTTAGGTCTGACATATATAATATGTTAATGGCGTTGATTTATGCTATAGCAATAGCTTGAAATTTGATTAACCTTTAACAAAAAACAAAACCAGACGACATTTACAATAGCAGTATCAACGCATAGATCTAACCCCTCGGTTAAGTTCTTCAATGGATTCCAACAGAACTTCAGCGGAATATATGAATACTACGACTGAAGAACTTTGCGTTCTATGGACCAAGTTCATTGTCATTTTTTTGGAAAAAATCCGAAATTCCCCGTTACAGTGGTGTGGGGGTGTGCGGTTGGCGTTCGAAACTGCATTGTCTTAAATAAATGTTAAATGATCAATTTGAATACAATTTAGAATGGCTTAATCCGTGAAAAATTAGATTAGATATTGTTCGAAAAATGTAAATGAGGATCAGCAGTTTTAAATAATTGTAGTTGGTCAGAGTTAAATTTTAGCGAAATGCCTGCTCCTGTCCCACTGTTGTATATTCCATCTCCAATGCATACTACACTCTCCTCTTAACTTTAATGCAGTATTAATAACTGTTTATTGATGAATATATTAATTGGTCTGGACAGATGATTACATTTCTAAATTTAACCATCAAATGATATTTCGTTAATTTTAAGCCACATTTCACAATAGTTGATAACTGAATGTATTTATCTGAAGTGTAAACACGATTAATTTTACGACTTAATTGATATAATTTCTATCTTTCAACCCGAATGAAATCATTTGAAGTACGTAAAAATGACCATTACATTGATTTCAGGAAACTCTCAGTGCTGTGGGTTTTTTTTAAGATGCAGTAGACTATGATTCGAAATAAGGTTTAAATAACGGGGTCTTTAATCTTGGCGGCTGCATAATGAGAATCTTTTTAAATCCACACTCAATTCGGCACAATCGTCTCTTGGATATAAAGTCACATCTTCAAATTTTATCCCCGCGCATAACAAATGATTTATCCTTACGTTATGCAATTGTTTTACAATTTTCAATACGCCGAATAAATGTGAGCAGGCACATAGAATTAACATATTTCATATATTCCGACGAACCTCATATATGATAATTGGACTGATGTTTGAGTGTTTTAGAAAGTGCTGGGATTATAATAAGAAAATCGTATGATTGTAGCTTTCATCCCAAGGCCAACAATATCTGTATACATTGGAAGAGATGACATAAAATATTTATGATGTATTTTATTTTGTTACAGCTACATCGCTGGGAATAATAATTGGCTGTTCCGCAGCCGCTCTTCTTATCATCATTATTGCCATTATTCTGTTTAAAATTCGCCGAAATAGAAGGAAATTTGATTTACAATTTGAAGATTTTAACGAAGATTCTCTGTTCTCTAGATCTTGTCCAAACTCAAGGTTAGTTTTATTACTTTAGTTTTATAGCGTATTTATGCGATTATTTATTGTCTAGAACAGTCTAGAGTTTGAAGTAATACCTTTAATTTTCTAAACATTTATATCTCTCGTTCAGGGGAACCGTTTCACAAAGTGTGCGTAAAGTTACATATGCACAATTCCTATAGCGTTGCACTCGTCTTCATTAGCCCAATCGGGACAGAACAGTGGGACGTTAAACCCCATTTGATTTCATTTATAGAGTTGCACAGTAAAATATTCGAATTGCGTGCTGCTTAAGTCTTAAGAAGCTTTATAAAAAGCGGTCCAGAAGTAGACTTGATGAGATTGTGGCATTCAGTTTAAATGAAACAATATTGTACAAATAAAGTTCTGAACTATAGTCATTTAGATGTAAACTGGTAGCAAGAAACTAATTTTCCATTGCAGAAGTCCATCTCCAAGACTACCTAAAAGAAAATCTTGTCCAGATGCCTACTCTAGTATAAGCGCTAAAGATTCTGTATTGATAAGGTCGGTAACGATAGATAAGGTACCAGATTTTGAACTTCCGCCGGAACGAGTACAACCTAGAAGCAGTTTTGATAGGTCTATATCTATAGGAGGTGGGCAATATCAACAAACATTAGGATCAATACAACCAGAATTATACAGGTAAATAGTAAATCTTTGTAAATGCTTTGCTTTCTCAATGCAGCCAATCTACTGGTACACCATTCCCTTTTCTATGGACTGTCGATTGGACTAAATAGAAACACTGTGTCCAGTAGCTAGACTATGCCTATAAGTACCCTTCTTACCATCGCGTTAAAGTGAGAAAGCGAAGCCAAGAAACGGCGACACATGGTCCGCTATGAGGTTCAGTATGAAGTCAAGGCGAAGCTAAGAAATGACTCGACTTCTTTGCTTTGCTCTGGCACTGATTATGTCTTGTCGTGGCTTCTTATTTAATCATACTCCTCACAGTGTTTTGTTTGATTAGAGCTAATCCCACTTAACACTGCTATAATGGAAGCAAATTTCTGTTCCAAATTATTGCTGGTCAATAGTCCGATTAACAACAAATAGCTGACTGCGTAACAATATCATACGCTTTAAACAGAGCTCCAAATTGGACCAAATATGTTTTCATAACGTTTTAGGGAAGATCCCAGATTAAACGAAGGGCTGTCATGGGCTTATAATCAGCTTTCATACTAGACTCCTCCTCTATATTTTCGTTCAGAGGTCGAAAACCACTTTCTTTGCACCATCCGTAATTCCATTTAACATAATCATAATGATGATGTTCGAACATGTTCAAGGTCAACATCATACTTAAACATGTGCAAAGATGTTTTGGAATGTTTTATTGAATTTTGGAGTGATACCACTTTTCCATCATGGATTCCAAAAGACGGTTGCTTACAAGCACTATGTGTATGAGAAAATCAGTTGATACGGAGGAGGGGAGTTTTGGGGGCATACCACTCCCTTCTCGAAGAATTGAGATATGAGGACCCGTCATCTTATATTAATTTTCGCGGTATGGACATTACCACCTTTGATGGAAGTCTAGTCATTGATTTCCAAATACCCTTCTTTTTGACATTTTGGACATGCTGCTGGAGGCTGTCATTTTGACGAGCTGTTACGTGACCCAATCGCTCGTTCGCTCGAGGGACAATTGTGATATTAAATATATATAACCTATTTTATAGACATTCAAGTTTTTCCGAAGATGAGGAAGGAAATCTACCACCAACAGAACATGGTCGACTGTGGTTCTCTTTGATATATGACGTAGCTGTAGAACAACTGTGTGTTACTCTAATCAAAGTTAAAAACATTCCAGGTAAATATAAAAAAAACACTTTAATACAATACACTTTCCCATATCAAAACGTATCCGAACGTATCTGCATGTAGCAGATCGTGGACTCAATAGGAACAATCCTATCGTAACTCATCGCCCGACAGTGGGAACCCGGCATTACGTGCACATTGATACATAGGTCATCTGCATGACTGGGCACCATTTTCATGTCAATCGGACAACCCGTGACTGATGAGATCAGGACAAGAAAACTCCAGTAGGATCTTCTTAGTTCAGGTATGAATTCGAATCCATATTCAAAAGAATCTTCCATTATCTGTTGCGTGATTTTCAAGACCGGACAACTTCTTATGTTGTATACAAAAATTATAAATGGGTGCCCTATATATAAGATGATGAATGACAGTACACTATTATTGTATAGAGGAGTCAGAAAATATGTTTCCCCACGTTTCGTTCGTAAACAAAGTTAATAGCATAAAGGTTATTGGTCGACTGTAAAAGTTGTTTACAAACAAAATATTAACAATATAAATTTCCTAGTAAACACAACCGGAATGATTGAATTATACATGCTTATATAAACAGTACAAAACTAATCCGATTTATTTACAATTGTGGCTATTTAACTCTAAAATTAATAATATAAGTTAAATATACCAGAACTAACAAAGTTACATATAGACCAATGCTAAGTAATAAAATTTCCATTAACTGACAATATACTATACTTGACATGGTGTCGTGTTTTCTTGACATACGAAATTGTGGAAGAATCGATGGTTACCAAATGTTGCATTATTCTATTGACTCACCCTTTGTTTGGTTCATTTAATGTGAAATTCATAAACTGACATATTATTGACAATGGGTTTTCATTGAGTTGGGTTGACATAATTTCCCTTAGTTAACATTATTTATTGTATATTACAATATATAATAATATGTAAATTTCGCTATCTTTATTTTATAAGGTTTAAAATGTATGTGGGAGTTCACCATAATGCACATCTAGCCAACCGTGTATTTGTTTTCAGTTAGTTACACATTTTTGAAGTTTTTAAACTTTAAAATTGTTGTAGAGATCTATTGTATATATATGCGTGATTAATAAATACGGATGATATATAAAGAACAATCGAATTATATTCCGTACTAAACCATTTATACACGATGATTTGATAACACTTTTTGTTGCAAGCATTAACTTCTGAATAATTATTTTTATACGCCCACATTTTCATGTGGACGTATATTGTCCTCGCCCCTGTTCGTCCGTCCGTCCGTTCACATTTTGTTTGTGGACACTTTACAGGCCACAATTTTTATCTGATTTTGACGAAACTTAATATAAGGGTTATAGATTCCAAAGATTGCGGTTCCTTTCGACATTGCCATGTATCGGACCGTACGAAAAAACATGTTTTTAGTTTTTGAACACTCTGGATTTTGATGAAACTTCCTGAATTAGGGACCCTGATTGTACGAAAAATCACGTTTTTAGCTTGTAGATCCTCTATAGAAGTCACAATTTGTATCCAATTTTGATGAAACTAAAAATATATTTTTATGTCTTTCGATATTGACGCATGTCGGACCATAACAACCAGGATTATACGAAAAATGGCTTTTTTCGAGCTTGTTCTCTGTCCATCTTTTGCAAAATGTGGGCGTATTTTGCATGGCAACCGCTTGTTTATGATACATTCCAATGAAAGTATTTATAGGGTAGTTATATCCAATAAAAGTGTGGCATATTTGAAATGATATGGAAAGTAGAGACACCTGGTCTTACAAGAAAAATCATAGATTCTCTGAAAAACACCCACGGGGCCTCCACCGAACAAAAAAGTAAATGGACGGCGAGTAACGACAATACAAGGTCAAAATTGATTCTCCATGAATCAAGTCACTTGACAAACAAGGCTGCTTTGAAATAGACTTTTACGACTTGGGGTAGTTTTCTTGAAATTGAAATGTTTTGAGAGGGATTTAAAGTAAAATTAATTTGAATATATTTGAATAGATCATCAAATTAAACAGTGTGTACGTGGGGGTATCTTTTCAGGTAATATTAGACCGTTTTACAAACTACGAATGACATTATGTATGTTATCATGATTTCTACCCACCATTCTGATAGAAACAGATGGTCTTTAGTTTATATTTCAATTTTTATTCCATTTTATGCTCCGTATTTTGTAGCCTATTTTACCGGACTCAGTTAGAAATCGCAACGTAAAACAGCCAATCAAAACACAACTCTTCGGATCAGGCCACGACTCTGTTCACCAGTCTTGTGCTTAACACAGGTTGTTGAACGGCAGTCGTTTTGAACATATGTTAGATCTTATGTAGCGTTAAATATGCGATTCATAAAATGCAGACATTGGCGTATATTATGTAAGCAAATGAACATAGGTTTAAAGTAGAGTTATTGTTAATGTTATTGATCGTACGTATTTCGTTTCCCATCTTGGCATGTTATAAACCGCACAATATTCTAACCATCAAAAAACATACTGATTCCGCGTTTTTCAAATTCAGAGTTCATAAACTCAGTTTATTAAATTAGATGATAATCAAAATGTGTAGTAAACTGTGTTAAACAACGGTTGTTATTTGGGAGCAACGTGGATGTTTAAATGTTAGAATTTTTACGTCGGCATGTATATTCAACACATTCAACAATTAGTATTGGTGAAGGCTGATTAATGATGACAAGTTATCCTGACTTATATAAACCATTTGCGCTTCAAGGAGTATGAATATGACTTGACAAACAAGTTATAGCCATATATTACTAGCAATCTGTTCATGTTCCTTTAAATTGAGTTACATCTGTTATCCTTTTGTATGTATTCATAAACATGTATATACAGACTTACAGGGAGATAATTTCAATACAACTATTCGATTGTAAAACAACATATGGTCTCAGTTGAATACAGAGAGCAACTAGTCAGCGCTATCGGCTACACCTTTATTCATTGATCCTAACTTTCGATATTTGAGAAAGATTTTAATTAACCCATCCATATATTCAAATCACTATTTAAACCTACACATAAAACAAGACAAGGCGTTTTTGGGCAGAGGTGGGACATGGATGACGCTATAGCTTATTTGAGCAAAGAATATAACATTCTGTTATACGCCCATATTCCAGTGTTAGCGTATTATGTCGCCACGCATGTCCGTGTTCAGCCAATCTGATTAAAATACAGATCTATTTTTTTTTTCGTTTTTTTGTACTTTCGATGGCCTCTACTACATAAAGATCTGGGAGAACGCGAGATCCAGATATGACGTTATATGTGCTAGAATGGGCAGGACAGTCTCCGATCTAGCGTTCTTCGAAGATCTGACCGATTGTAGTGGAAGGTCGTGTAACTTAAGAGGTCATACGATTGGCTTTTGGCCCTACGACGTCAGACATATTTTGTTTAATCAATTAGTGTTGATCTTTCTAGTGGGTTACCCACAGTTCCGTGCACCTCACGCCAAAAACTCGCCGTAGCAGACCGTTTCATTGGCTTATTCCTCACATCATCCAAAACGCGGGTTATATAACAACTCTTCCGGGTCCCAGTGTAGTAAAGACAATAAAAAAATTTGAACTATAAAAAAACGAAACGGAATAGGATCTGTTTTTAACCAGATTGGTGTGCAACATTGGGGTAGTAAGAGGACGAGCACAATCGATATTCAGCGTTCCGCGACATTCTGTAAACATTAGGACGGTGAGAGAATTAAGCCTATTGCTTGTCAAATTTGGTTTGAAGCATTGATTTTCAACATTCTAGATATATTGTGTGTCCGGAAAAGCTTGTCAACACGATATAGATCTTGTAAGCATAAAGGACCCTTATCAAATTTGCATAACATCCATATTGTTTTCAAGACATAGTGCTTTGTGTGCATATTTCCGCGCTTTGTGGACATATTTCAGCGCTTTGTGTGGGTATCGTTTGCTTTTATGTACCAGGCATAAATCCCTCAATAATCAAATACACCTGGTTGAGGTCTGAAAAGACAAACAAATTATAAACAACCCTTCTTTGTAGTCGATGGTGTCGAACTGCGATCTGTTCATATACACATGGATGATAATCAAAAATCTATAAACATTATCGGTCGTCGGTAGGTTTTAGAAATATCACCATATGTTCTTATATTTTACCACAAAATAATATCTCGATTTGAAATATGACTCAATAATATGTTTGAAGTTTGTCAATAAATTTACTGACTTCACAACGTGGCGTATATTTTATTACGTTAATATTAGTTATATAGAGCTTGAGTAATTATAACTTCTCTCGATCGAGTAACTTTTATCGACCTAGGCAGTCTTTTTGATGTCGAGATTAAAATATTTGTTGACAAGATTTTATTTCATGCTTTTCTTTTGTTTTATTTTATAGGAAGAAGTCCGAACCAAGCACCGCGCGACCCTTTTGTCAAGCTCTATCTTCTACCTGATGAGCGAACGTGTCGTACTTCTAAAACCCGTAAAAAATCTCTCTCGCCAGTCTTTAACGAATCTTTTTCATTTACGGTAGGTCTTTCATATTCCATCAATATAAACTTAGAATGTTTTATAAAATATAGCCATGTGCGAATACATAGAGATTTTATTTATCACCCAATCCTTTCTTACATTCACAAATAAATAAATATACTTCTTTGCTATAGACTTCACTTTTACTGGACCTGATACATAACGGCGTAGTGATACATCATTTTTTGATAGCAATTCAACCTTTGCAAAGTCCTTTATATTGACCAAGTGTTTCCATCAAGGTCAATTAAATAAAAATAATTCATTTTTAATAAATAAAAAAAAAAAAAGTTACTTTTAATAAAAATTGAACTGTTCTTTGAAAATACAAAAAAGTAGTACCTTTCTAACTGACCAATCAAATTCATGTAAAGCGATATCTCCTATGAGATAATGAAGACGGAATACCCCATATCGTGTGTTATGAGGGGACATTGTCGTCGAATTACATCTGTCAATTACGACTAGATGCCTCGTCCGTCACCACTGACAATGTAAAACCCGATGAAGTCTTTCGGCCAATACGTGGGCATCCTGATCCAGCACCTCACTCATCGAGAAGCCGTGGCTGTACTGGAAAATATAATTACGTTTTAAATGTAATATTATTTGACACATTATATTTTTAGTCGAATTTGCCGCAATGGCTGCAAAAGTGTTTTGGCAACGCTATGCTCATCATCCAGCACCCAACACATCGAGCCGCCATGGCTGTGCTGGAAAATAGAATTACGTTTTAAATGTAATATTTGACACATTTTATTTTTAGTCGAATTTGCCGCGATGGCTGCAAAAATGTTTTGGTAACGCTATGCTCATCAAGACCTTCCTTTACCCCCCCCCCCTTCCTCCGGGTATTCGTCCCCTGATATCTGTACGAGAAGTGAATACCACAGCTCTAATTTTAGTTAGCATTTATCAAGTACTAAACCTAAATAAAGGGGAGTTATTATCAAGGATTTTAATTCATTTTGATTCAATTATTGTTTTCTACCAGGTATCAGCTGAAGATGTATTTACAAGAACACTGCGTTTTTCTGTCTACGATGTTGACAAACGACAAATACGGCATTCGTTAGGGCATGTTATGGTACCTTTAAAAGATGTTGATTTGACCAAAGGTGATGTTGTCTGGTGTGATCTTGAACCTATGGCACAGGTAGGATTGGGGTTATCTGAATACAATATAACGTGACGGTAGTCGCTGAGGGTTGCGCGTCCTGTATATTTCGACTTTGACATTCTTTCAAATTAGAGTTTCATGAAATATTATCCATTTCTTGGTGAATGTCAAAAGGATCAACATTTAAACTTCATACACAAAAAAAACCACGATGAAATTAATAGAAGCAATAAATAAATATAAATCCACATGTCACGAGTAGTCTCCCTTGAGTATTTCCTAACGTGTATCGGCGATCACTGTAACCAAACGTGAAAATAACAGATCAATAAACGGTTATTGATCATATTGTCGATATGTCTCTGAAGACCATCGTCAATCCACCTCTCTTATTGCTTTATTATTTTCAAGGTCATTACCAATTCAAAGTAGTTTAATCTGTCCTTTAATTTTGATATATATATATATATATATATATATATATATATATATATATATATATATATATATATATTGACAGGCTTATGCAACCGGTTTCTTGCTTGAATTCGGCACTTTTTTTTAAATACTTCTTTGATCAGTTCCTAAATTATAGATTAATAAATGGTCATCTAGATGAACATTGTTTATATTTCAATAATCTATCGCGCTAATACTAATAGGGTGTCATATTCAACAAAATAAGAATTTGGGGTAACGTTTTTACATTATCATTTTGAAAACATGAACCCTAATTGTAAGTTGCCTAGCTATAACCACCGGTGTTGCCCAATGACATAACAATTTCGCGAGGTACAACAATCTGTTTGTGTGTTTTAGGCTGCGTCGTCTCTGGGTGATGTCCAGGTTAGCTTGACGTACATACCACCACAAGAAAAAATAAAAATAGTTGTGATGAGAGCCAGAAATCTTAGACCATCAGATTATACCAGTGAATCGGGTAAGTATTTTACTTTTATTTGACCAAAGCAATTTCAGCATAACCTAATTCATGTTTTCTAGCATACCTGTAGTCTGACGGTATAGGCCCATTGTTGATACTGTACATTGTTAATATGACATTAAAGATACATTATGGGAGATTAGATAAAGAGCTGGTAGTTCTCACTATAATAGTTAAAAACTAGATAATGTAAAGGGAATTTGGTGAAATTTTCAGTCAAATTGATCCAACCTAAACCGAGTATTTAGCGATTGAATTTTGGACCTAGCCTCGATCATCAACACTAAAGTCGGTACGATACAAATATAGTCTCGATTATTCATTTTTTGATTTAATCAGAAGCAGCAGACCGGGTTCTCATCCAGTAAATATCGCAGGCTAGCGATGCCATCGAGAGTTGATTATGGTCAGGATAAGTTGATTGGTAAAGCGATTAAAAACGATTGAATATACTAAGAATTCCCAAATCAATTTAACTCATTGTAAGGTGAAACTGCATGCTTTCTGATATGGTTGGGTTAGAAACAAAATGCAACAATTAAGTCTCCAAAAGGTGCGTACGCGTTTCTTTGATCTGTTATATCATGGACCGTCTATATAAATTTAGCGTAGCCTTTGGATTTGATCAAATCGTTTCACCTTTATTTCAATTTATTTAAACTGATTTCAACAACATAGAAAAAGGTACGAATCAATTTGAGGTACGAAGTGAAGTACGAAACGGCTCATGTGAGGTACGAATGAACTAAGTACGAAACAGCCAGGTTACGAAACAGCTGACATCCAATTAATGACTAATTGATGATTTAGATAACATTTCAGGCCTAAAGAAAGACCTGCAATTGGCAGATTTAGCTCTTGCATAATGTATGTTTTAACTCTGTAATATATCGTATCGAATAGCAGTTGCACAGATATAACAATAGTGGTATTTTATGTTCTAGGATTGTATGCGAGGGTTCAGTTTTATTATGGCAGACGAGCACATAAAACAAAGAAGACAACAGTACAGAGAATTTATTCGGATCCCGAGATACATGAATCATTTTCTTTCTCTATAGCCGGTAAACAGTTGGATACATGTAACGTAGTTATATCCATCATGACGTCACCTACTAGAGGACCGTTTGGTCGTGACGAAGAGTACGGCCGAGTAACGATTGGTCCGTTCATGTTTGCGCGTGGAGAGGAGCTTCTCCATTGGCAGGAAATGGTCGCCCAATCAAAAATAGCTATTGCACGATGGCATACGTTAACGAGCTTCGTTTCCTCTGATTTGCATTAAGAGAAATTCGATAGAAATTTGAGTATATTTTAATTTTTAAAGCACATCGCTTACAGCAAAGATTTAAATTACTAGACATGTTAGTCAATCCAAGCTTGGGGCATTTTATTAAATTGTTATAAACTGTATTTAATTAAAAATATGTCTATTAAATCAGAAAGGAAATAAATTCCGCCACAAGAAAAGTAAGCGTTTACAATATGTGTATATAGAATAAAGAAGAATATATTTTGTTATCAGAAAATTTAAGAAATACGAGAAAATCAAAATTATTTGATGTCTTATTGTGTAAATATATGTTTTATTGTAAAAAAATGTCATATTAATTCACTTTATATTCAATTTATTTAACTAGCGTTTTCACAATTTTATTCGTACTGACATGTTACTTTACAAATTTGATGCGGATACTTCCGCTTTATTGTTTTTGGAAATTAGCTTTAATGGGATCGCTGCATTCAAAACGGTGACGTACCAAATCAAGGGGGACAACTGTCTTCAGTCAACAACAATTCAAGGACGAAACTAGCAAAGGAACAATTAACAGCGCCAAGTTTACCTTAAAAACAAAAATTAACAGATTTCCTTTGTAAAACATATTCAGGAAGCAAATTGTGAAAACTCTAGTTACTGAGAAATGTTGTATATTGTTTATTACAAACTAAGACCGAGGTTAACATTCGTCTGAATCATTGGCCGACATGTCCATGATGCTTTCAATACAAAAACGTATTTAGTTGTATCAATCCAAGGCTTTCAGCCGGAGAAAAATTCAGTCTAACACAAATGTAATGGGACTGTTTCCATGTAACTGGCGTAAACGCCCGATGAAACACGCCATGGAAAACGAACCTTAGATGAATAATTGTTAAATGACATATATTTTAATTATGACACTGTATATATCAAATCAATATGTTCAGCCACTGGTCGTTGTAACCTCGGTCAAATCTACACATGGTCACACGTCTTCTATATTAGTTGACTTCTTTCTTTGCCCTCTTTGGTCACAAAGGTTGACATTTCTTTGACCGGATGAATTTAATAAAACTTACATATTAATTCTTCAGCTCAGATCTGCACTTTTCTCCCGCCCCATCCCTCCCCAGTAGTATAGACTATTTGCTTTTAATCTGTAAATATTAATGGTAGTGTTGGAAGTGTTTGTATCCGTCATATTATCAAATGTGTTTTAATAATTTAGTTTAGGTGTGTATAAAGTGTACCCTGACCAGATCAACACCAAAATAGTAAGCTAATAATCATAACAATTTAATATATTTTATGGTTTCCAACAATAGATCCGTTTAGAAAATGCGAGTTTGCTTTAAACTGAATTGGCACGGGAGTGCCGTTTTGGTGAATATAATCTCACATTTGCATAGTTGGCTTGCCAATTATTATTGCACGCACATGACAAGCAGCTAGAAGCGCGATTTATTTTTCTAAGAAAAGAATAGCAAGATAACTACCGTAAAGTGGCTATCGATCGATTCAAACTTCATTATCTCGAATTCGGAAGTCTCGAAGAAAGAGGTTGTGTCGAATACCAAAGTTGGGCCCCGTTTTTATTGTCGGTTAATTAAACAAGAACAATGGATTGAAATGGTTATTATTGATTGTTTTGACAGTTTATAGTGTATGTAATATTATGAAAGCATTTTATTAATACGCATTTCAAATTCTATACTGATTTTTCGCCTATTTATCCCTGCAACCAAATCATTTTGGCTTATCTTAAGTCATACAATTTACATACTGTGATCGTAATTGAATTATATATTATAATAATTAGTAGTTCAAATATATAAAGTATACATCAGGGTCAGTTTTATATAGATATTAATGAACACAACAACTAATTCCATAATAAAATAAAAGGTGAAGGGATATAATTTGAAAGCTAACGTGGAAAAAAAATTATGGAATTTGGTAATGTTTTACAATTAAAATATATTTAAATATTAAAATTGTTTTTAATTATGTTTTAAACATGGTTTCATACTTATTTTCTTATTTTAAGTTTTCTTTCGATAGCTTCTCCTTCCGTTTCCGACATATTGTTTCATTTCTGTGGAGAATAGCTTTAATTCCCCTCGTGCTTAGACGCCCACATTTCATATGGGAGTATATTGCCGTCACTAATTGCTGTTAGTACGTCCGCCCACCCGCTCTATATAGTTCAGACCTTATTTTAGGGGGATATAGCAATCTGATTAAAATACAGATCTATATTTCGTTTCGTTTTTTTTTATACTTTCGATGACAAGTAAAACGAAATTTTGAACTATAAAAACGAAACGAAATAGGATCTGTGTTTTAACCAGATTGGGGGATATAGCACAATGAATCAACACGAAAATAATTCAGCTTCAGTCTCCTTAGCTGATATTTTGAAAAATTTAGAAGGTATAGTCCGCCCCCCTTTTTTAAGGGGCGGGGGCGAATTAGTAGGGATATAGCATAATGAATCAACACGAGAATAATTCAGCTTCTGTCTCCTTAGTTAATATTTTGAAGAAGTTACAAGGTATGTCATGTAGTTCGTTCTAAACACAAACTATGACATAAACCTAGGTAAGGTTGTCAAGAAAAAAGAAAATCCACAACACGCTCTAATACTATCGAGGGAATTCTTGAACGAAAAATGGTCATCGCATGTGAAAATATACACTGACGGGTCTCACGATCCAAACACTACCAAAACTGCATTAGGTGTAATCATTCCCGAATTTAATATTAATATATCAAAAAGGTTACCAGATGGATGCTCTATCTATACAGCAGAATTAAAGGCAGTATCCACAGCTCTTGAGTGGCTCGTGTCACCCACCGTTCCGTTCAAAGAGCAGTCATCGTGTCAGACTCCCTTTGCAGCATAAAGTCAATAATGCATGACAAAAAAAAAACCCAACTAGACCAGAAATTGTTCAGACTATTCGAGCAAGTGTTTATTCCCTCCAAAACAAAAATATAACCGTAGAATTTACATGGACACCATCCCATGTTGGCATAGCAGGTAATGAGTCCGCAGACAATTTGGCTCGCAAAGGACTCACCCTCTGCGAGACCGAATACTTAAAATATAGCGTTCAGGAATTTAATAGCATCATCAAAACTAAAATTAAATCAGAATGGAAAATTGAGTTGGCTAGAGCAAATACTTTTAGATTCAATTTAAACAACGATCTGGTTGTAAAGACGGAGGTCAATCACCCATCGCGCAAAATTTGTGGCTTAATCACAAGATTAAGAACTAAGGATTTAATTACCGACTATAACTTTAACCCAGTGAATTGCGAATATGGCCAGTTGGAAGATTAATGGAAGATGCCAAAGTTCAATATACCCTCCAAAATGTACTCTTCCTCCCCCGTCGGAATATGTCATATAAAATTTATGAAGCTATCACAAAATTCATAGCAGAATCGGGAATTAACTGTTAAGTTAGTTGCGTTAAAAATAAAAGACCACTAGTCAAGGAAAGATAACTGGTTGTGTAGACCAGGTTAGCCCATAAGCCACCTGGATGCTTTAATAATATCTGAATAAATTAACGTTAAGATAGGGAACTACATATCTAGTTACAAAGGAAGGAACTATTGTTGTAGGACAGTATGGCGGTTCAGACTACTCCGTTTTGGCTCACTCCACTGTAATCCTATATTGTATGCACCTAAATGAGCAGAATTATTGTATCAAAGCTTCTGATTTTATCAAATTCGCGGGTAGCTTCCCCTCCCCCTCGACCTAACGCCAAACTTCGCCCCCCCCCCCCCCCGCGCTGCTCAAATACCTCCTAGACACGGCCCTTATAAGAACATTTAGATCACCCAGTCCCACTGAGCCCAAAAACGGGTTTCAAAAAACATCAAGAATAAGTTTTATTCTCTGGCTCATATATATTGAATCCAGAATGTACTAAAGGAATTGTAGGTACACAGACTGTCAAGGTAGTGGGGGGGGGGGGGGGCAAAATCAATGAATGAACTTGAAGAGTATAATAATGAATATGGTTTATTGTAACAAAATAAGAAGATGGGGTGGACTATAAACTATTTACTAGATATAGAAAATTAAATAATTTATTAAAATCACAATCAAAAAACATTTGTTGGTACTTTGCTTTTCCATATATCTCCCCCCCCCCCCCATTTCTGACTGTGGCTAAGATCCAATTATTATTTTTTTTTCAAAGTTCTCTATATCGAAGACATACTCGAAATTTCCCCATCCTCAGAAAATTCAGGCCCTGCCACTGATAAAATGACTTTCTGTAGTCAAATAAATAATTTCATTGTGTCAACGGAGAAGTAAGGATTATTTATGTAAGGAATTATTAATGTATGTTGATTAATTCACCATGAATGGCACACAAAATAATTATTGATATTCAACCACTTTTAAAGGGTTGTTGTTAAATTTACATATATATGCTCAACCTTCAGCAAAAAACAATTAACATATAGAAAATTATTTTATAAAATATAAACTGATTTGAGAAATGGAGTTGACATCTTGTTGCATTAATAACAGCAGTATACACAATACAATAATGATAAATATACAAAAGTGAATATGATGGAAGTTAACATTACATAATATAAATATAATTATTGTGAAAACATTACAGGTTTAAGTAGTAATAGTGAAATAAATCATGTTCAGTCATTAAATGGAGTAAAAATCATCACCATTTACCAGCATCTGTCTCAGATAATAAAGTGTTTGAAAACTCAATATCTTAAATTAGTTGAAAACAAAAAAGGCAGTTTATTTATAGTATGCCAAATATTGAGGAATAGCAATCAAGAATGTAGCTTGTAAAAGAGATTAAATTGTAAAATTTGTAAATTAATATGCATTTTAACAATCAGCCAGCTTAAAGACTGACCACAAGTTATTCTGGTTTGCATAGATTAATGCTTCTTTTAATCTATAAAGTATGTCTTCTATGGTATTTTATGAAGTGCATTTTATGGAAGTATATATTATAAAAGTGCACATTTTATAACAGTGTATCTTCATCAGATTCAGATACTAATAAATTAGTTTGATCATCACTACCATCATATCCAGGATTGGTTAAACCTGACACAGAATTAGTTTCAGGTATTTGAAAACTGACAGATTTCGATTTACCATCCATTTCTATATTACTATTTATTTCACTATGCTGCGAAGATGATGAGCCAGCATCATCTATTGAAGACAGAGTCTCGACTAAAGGCAATTCATTCATTTGCAAGTCCTTAGAGACATTTTGGTTATCACTACTGCTGTTCCCAGCTTCAAAAGTTGACCCAGTTTCTATACCAGACAGTGGGTCTTTAGTAGAAACTACAACTTCATCTGGTTTAATGATTTTACTGAGAATTTCTCTTTCTAGATCCATTGCTGTTCTTCCTAAAATAATGTCTCTTAAGGTAATTGTGTCCATGTCGGATGTCTCATTGCCAAAGTCTAGAGTTCTTTCTTGTTCTTCTAATGTCAGGATTTGGGGTTTTATTCCATTAGATTTAATAGAACCATTCTCCTCCATTTCAAATGAAAACATTTCGTTCATCTCTTTAATGGTAACCATTTTCTTCAATTGATTTTGGGTCCTTCAAAAAAGAAAAATATAATTATAGATATGAAGTCAAAGTCTATCTGCCAAATGATAGTGAGATCAGAACTGTCAATAAGACATCCTCATGGGGCAGGGAAGGGTTTTGCAAATACTAAAAGGATATTGTGATCTCATTATCTTAATTCTGATGTTTTTGAAAAATGGTACTTATTAATCAGTGGGATACTAATGACCATTTAACACATGTATAACACGCTTGTTTCGTTGGTGTTTTGGGGGGAAAAACCTTATAGTGAACAAGGGGCTTGGATGAAGGTACTATATGCCAGCATTTTAATATGTCAAGAACAACATGGTAGTTTCAGCATTGTTAACAACCAATCAGGTCTGATTAGTGATATTTCACTTGCGTTATTCCAATTAATTGTAATTTTGTAACAAAACCATTATATGATAATAAAACATAATCCTTGAGTGGCATTTAGTGATTGAGCTCATTAATAAACACAACACAATTTATATGGAAAACAATCACTGGTTTATACACATGTAGCATGACGTTTCGACAAGACAAGTATTCCCTTATAGACAATTCGGTTATAAAAATAAATTGAAAAAACACAATCACCTCAATACAGAATCCTGGGAAAGCATAAAAAGGTAATAAAGGGTTAAAATTGGGATGATTCAAAAATACACATTTATAATACAGATGTTTTAAAGCATATTTTAAATATTTAACATTCATGCAAATAAACACAATGGATTTTAATAAAACTCTATAAGCTTTAAACACTTATTCCTACAACATATCTGCTGCATAAAAAGTTTTTTTCAGAATTAATTCTTTAAAAAGTTCTGATAAAAATTACAATAAACTTTTTATTGACATGGTTTCACATTGATCAAAGACTGTGATTACTACATTTTTACATGAAATCCTAATCGGCCTAGGTATCTAATATTTGTGTTGCTGATATATATTGCTAATAGATCTCTGTATCCCAATTTCATTGATGCAAAATATATAATGATAAAGTTATCTAAGGTTGAGTGTAGACTAGAAGTGTTTCTATTGAAAAATACATTTTTGTATAATTTAAGACCATGCAGCAAAAACTAGAATCTATTAAAGACAATAAAACAATCATGACATACAGAAGTAGACAGAACAGTCATACAACAGAGACAAGACATTTAAACAATTAGATATCCAAACAGTTTAAATATGTTTTAATGATCAATTTTTTTATGAAGACTACTAAACTTTGATCCCATCAAAATGCAAGATAAACAGAAGATTTTTTGGGAAAACTGATACAATTTTAGAGTTATGAAGGTGTGTGTCTACATTTTGTTTATCCAAATAAATTTCCATCCTTTTGACAGTGCAAGTGAACACCACATTAAAGACACACAAGAGATATAATATGGTGTCTTTCATTTCACAAAACTTGTTTTAATCAGATAGTCTGTCAAATATAAATAGTCACCAGACAGTTCAACAGAACTATGTATACACTAAACTGCACATACATTTATTTACAAACAGAAATGAAAGTATGCATCTGTCATTACTCATATACATGTATAACAAGAAAAATATTATATGTAAAAAATTCTAAACCATGTAATTGGGACAACTTTCTAAGACAAACAGATCTATATCTTAAAGGCACAGTTGACCAGAAGGTCAATTTAACATAGAATAATAATGAATGAAAATAGTTCTATCAATAATAAAACAACAAATAAGCCTAAGGTAGGCTATATACCATCTTGACATCAATGTTCAAGGGCAGAAATAAGTAATCTTTAAGCTAATGTGAACTTTAGATGGTATTTAACTTGTGGTAGGGCTAAATTTAAAAACAATTAGAACCAATATTTCTTTTGGTAAGAGACTAGTTATATTATGTACAAAAATCAGTATTTGCCTTTTAATGTGGAATACTGTGCCTTTAATCTACACTTTTTGTTGTCTAAAATAATATCATAGGGTACTATATTATTCACATCTACCACATCACAACTCATATTACTTTCATTTCTAACTACAAGAATTACAACAACTAAAATATTAGGTGTTTCAGCTTACTCAGTTTCTCGTTTTGATCTCACATACTTATCTGGACTAAAAACATGTGAATCATCATCAACATCCGCATCTCTTTAAATAATAAAATTAAAGCCATGGAAAACAACAAGACCACAGTAGTTTTTGGCACAATGTGTTAAAAATAACAATCATTTGTAAACTGTTTTGAGTGGCATTTAGAAGTTGCCAACATATATACAAAATGAATGGCGTAATCTTGAAATTAATAAATAGCAGCATGATTTTTTTTTATGTGGCCACAATCTGTTGTTTTCAGTTTAATTATAAAATTATTTCCATGCCAAGCTGATAATCAATTCTGGGACGAAAATTTCGGGTGGTTTTGATTTTCAACAGATTTAAATACGATTGACATTAATGATTTAATTAAAAAGGGGATAATCCAGACATTGTTTATTATCATCACAACAGTAGTAATGACAATTGAGACTACAACAATGATAACTCAGCTCAGAATGAAGTAATTTGGCTGAAAGTTTCGACATATTCCCTTTTCATTATCTATTTTTAAACCATTATAGCGAGAACTGTCAGTTGTCTACCTAAATCTTACATAATGTATTTTTAAAGCTACAGACATGTTTGAAATACAACTGGATGTCCACGCTACTGCCTCGAGTTACTTTATCAATAATCTCAAAAATTGACAAATATACATTAAAGTTTTTGTTGAATCTGTTAATATTCTACCAGCTTTGGAATAATAAACTTTACATTAGACTAGACTACTACACAACATTAACCTTACTTACAATTCCATTACAGCAGAATCAGAGTCGCCAAACGTATCAGAAAAGTTGGTATCATCACAACTTATTTTTTCTCTGGCTTTCATAGCCATTTGCATCTTGTCCTGTTTAGCTGCTTGTCTTTTAGAAAAGATTTTCAAAATATAATTGAAAACCATATTTAATGTCTTGTCTCAATTTTCGTTCTTTAAAGATACCATGCCTATGTTGCTCTTTTGAAAATAAGTGATTTAGATTTCCTCACTATACAGTCATTTATTATCATAACTGTATAGACCTTCAAGGAGAAGACCCAGCTATTTCTATATATTAACAATAGATAGCTAATGATGACATGATTAGAACATGATTGGAACCAGAACAAGTAATTGTCATGAAAGCATGTTCTCAAGACCTAGGTTAAGGTAGCCACACTAACCCTTGTCTATCTATAAATTCTTTGATTGCTCGACATCATGACTATTTGTATTTAGAATTTTATTGGCTGACACACTAGGCCTTCCAGCCAATAAGCAGTTAAATCAATATTCTGTCTCAATAATATTAATGCAAGGGTTCATTTGAGTTGAATCTACCTCTGTATTTTGAGGATGGTAGGTAGGTAATTTTAAAGCACAAAATAAAACAATTTGACTGATTTCTGTTGTAAACTTTGGAACAATATATTTAAAGAACTGGCAGCATTGATGACATTACCAACTTTAAATGCAGCAGCTGAATGGCGCACCTAGTATTTTTCAAAAATTTGATCGAACTAATTACCATCTGTATTATTCGAATGTGAAAACAGATACCCTTCGATGTGATACTTGACTTTAGTGTTATGGAGTAATACTATAAAATGTGAGCAGTATTTTGTGTGCAGTTTATTTATATATTGTGATAGTTGCTTTCTTGTGAGTAGAAACACACTGGTAAATATATTTTGTTTAATAGACAATAATCATTACTTACATTTTCCATGATCGTATAACTACAACTATCGCTATCAACGATCCCAAAAATATAGCAGAGGCTAGTCCTAATAAGGTCATCTCTGCAATTCCAAGTGTTTGTCCTTCCATGTTAGTTCTTGTTGCTGGTGGATCAGTTGTATATGTTGAGCCCGCTTCGAACAGTTCATTAATAGCTTTTCTTTCTGTTGAAACTTTTCTGAAATGTTATTGAGTCCATAGAATATTGGAATGAGAAGAGTTGTAAATAACTAGATACTAATAGATAATGCAGGAGAAGTGAAGAGAACAAATGATTAACATTAACTACAATACATTTAGATCATAAATCTGTTAAATTTTATGCAAAACTACAGAGTCATCCTTTGATTAAAGAACTGTTGCTTCCATCAAGTCTTAACAGTTTTGGTCTGATAGCAATGAGACTTTAGCCCTTTGGAAATATTTCAGGTTGGGTCTGTCTTCCAGGTGCTCTTTATATCATATATATGTTACATAAAAGTATTTTAAATTGGCTGATCATAAGATACATTAAAACAAGTAGGAATAATGACAAAAGCCAATCACATTAGTATATATCACGTGATAACTAATATTTCCTATTGATTCAAAGACAGTTTACACCATCTATTACGCTCACATCATCAGTTAGCTTCATTATCTTACTTACTGTTGTATTTCTTTCCAGGGAATTAACTTTTTATTGTCTGGTTTATAATAAGCTCGTATAAAAACATCACTTCTGTAAAACAATAACAATCCCTTCATAATAAATAATTCCTTACCAATCAATATTTTGATTATTTGGTTTTATGTAAAATCTTGTCCCAGGTAAACTCATTAAAACAACTCTTGGCTAGACTCCAAGACACCAAGCAGATATAAAAACATACACCATATTACATAAACTTTATTTACATATATACAACAAAACATTTATAAATTCCACCCTACTACACTATTGTATGAGAATTACAGTCCTATGATAGTAGGAAAGCTACGTGGTAGTAAAGCGAGGAAGGGCGCATATTCATGAAGCAATGGTTACAAGCATTATTAGGTCATTATAGTTGCGTTTCCCCCTTGTTCTTAATTTATGTAAACAGACATTCCTGGAGCCCAGACTCACGGTTCTCTTAGTTGCGTATATATTTCAACACAGTCACCTGATGATTTGTCAACTGATGTTGCTAAAATCATTATTCCACTCCGCTGTGGTACTATACCAACTCCCACAAAACATGCACAATTGACAGCCAGATCTCTAGATTTTGTCTCATTTCTGATCCTCTCGTTCACAAGAATTTCCTCTCAGCAATGACCTTGAATGCCAAGAACCCCCAACCCCAGAAACACTTTTTGGCATATCAATTGCTCCATCACAAAAATCCTGGCCACCCCATTGAGAATGATATTAAAAGACAATATATTAAATAAGAAGGATGTTGTACCTGTCTGAACTGATAACTTTCTTGCCATTAACAATAGAAGCATGTGGTTGAACACTGTCTAATTCTATTGTCATGTTCAGGATATTACTTAGATTACTGCAATGTGACAATAAGAGATATTTAATTTCATTTTTTTTCTCTGTAAAGGTAATTATTTTAAAGAATTAAATACTTCCTTATTTTTCTGTTGCCTGTTTTTTTTATTTTGACCTGATATCATATCAGAACTCAATTTCCTTAACCAAAACCTAGTTAGAGCATTTTGTAGTTTAAATATTCTTAACAGACTACCAGATTTTTAAAACAAAAATCAGGGGTGGTGTTTTGGAAAACAATTCTCTGAAGCACAGCCCATGAACAGAAGACCAGACACACTGTCATCACCAAGCACAAATCATAAACCTCAGAGCATAGTAAAACCTCAGAGTGCTACAGAAATATGTAGGCATATATTTATTTGAATATGTCCAGTCGGATAAGTATATAAAACAAAACTTACCTTAAAAGTACATCTTTAAAGGCAACAAGTGCTGGTAATGTTATATTACCTGTCAGTATATATCTATTATCATCTGGTACTACATATATCTATACAAATAAACATCATTTACAACATAATGGCATAACAAACAATGATAATTAATATCTATGTTTGATAATATTCAATCAATGTCTATGTTTTGTGTATGCATGTATCAACAGTATATGCAAGACATTATATCATTCTGACCAAATGATAAACATTTTCTTTATTGTATTTTTAAAATTTCTGACTTGTAAACAATGCTTCAATTACATTAAAACTTGTATCTACTATTTGTCAATTCAAATTTATTCTATCATTTGATTTTAAAAGGACAAACTAGGACTAGTACATTTCCTTACTTCAGAGTAATATGACAATAAATCTAAAGTATTTTTTTTAAAAGGAATGATATCCTTCAATGATTTCATTCATCCCAAGGTTTATTAAAATATACATTATACATTGGTCACTTGATTAACTTTCTATGTAACCGCTACACATCAATCATTACTTCAAACATATAAAATGAAATGGGTTTTATCGTCCTACCTTTTTGCTCCAGCTGGGCTAATGAAGTGTGCTATGAGGGAAACTTTACCGAGGCAGCGGCACTACGACCTACTCTTATATCGAATTCTAACCGTCAAGGGTTCTTTTACGTGCATGCTAATGTGTACACTGGACCTCAGTTTACGCCACATTTGAATGACTATACATTGTCTCTTGCCAAGCACTTCGCCATACCCCACTGATATGGTGGAACCATGCCGGAAAATCGTAATGAACTTTCTCAGCCAACACAGGGATCGAACACAGAACCTCTAGGTTAGTGAGCCAATGTCTTACTCGCTGAGCCACTATGGCACCTCATTACATCAGGCGGAACTCTAATTTCACTACTAACATTAATTAATAATACTTACTTTTATTTTTAGATCAGAAGACAACGTAGAGTTGGTATCTCTTGCTGTAACTATGATATTAAATTGATCTCTATCTATACTAGTCATATCTACCAATGATTTAACATCTCCTGTATTCACATCTACATCAAATATATCTTTATCACCATCAGATACTTGATATATAGTAGATCCTGATCCACTTACATCTGGATCCACTGCCTGATTTTAAAATTACAATAATAGTAATAATGGAATGGGGATTAAAGTCTCGTCAAAACAATCATTTTAAGGATATGTGTGTGGTTATGTGTGCACTGTATAAAGAGAGACAATTTTGCCCAGATAATCATCTTCAAATTTCAATTGCCAAGAGTTTTTTTTATGGGCATGTCAATTTGTAGACCGGGTGGACATCAGTTTTTGATTCCATCCAAACAACTGGGCATACTCTCCTCATCAGCCCTACAGGTTATCATTAACCCTCATTGACCCACCCCGGGATTTGAACCATAGCTTACGATGATAAACAGTAGTTGATGTTACGTTACGTTCACTTCTACTGAACTCAGGGCATGATATACATATCAAACATCTTGGTAACCTAGTTGTTATTTATCAATGTATGTATATATGTATATAATAAAGTATTGTTCACCTGTAAGTTAGTAAGTGTAAAACCAGTAGAAGCTGATTGTGGAACACTAACTATCATAACTGAACCAGTATAGGTAAATATAGGTGGATTATCATTTATATCATCTATATGAATAACAACACGTGTTGTATCAGAATTCACTGAAATTTAAAAACAATTACTACTATATATTCTTTAAGAGGAATTTAATAACTGGATCAATTAACTAAAACACATACTTATGGGTGACATTTCGAAGAGTATTCCAGGGGCGTGCTGGCCCCGAAGGGGTCCGTCGGTCCCCGAAAGCGGGCGCGCTGCTGGTACCGTCCTCCTAAACTCCCTGGAGTATTCTCTCAAGGTTACCAAGGTTATCAAGCTTGGAAACATCAACCAAATAAATTAGTATGTGTTATAGTTATTACAACTATATATTTACCAGTAATAAGGAACACAGCAGTGCAAGTAATGACAGGATATTTCCCTCAATAACTTGTATTGTCTTTACAAGAGTGCCGGAGTTTGAATGCAATAATGTTTACAGCACTACAATTTGACATTGAAAATTTGACTTGCGTTTCCCAAGAAATTATGGACGGATGACAGATATTATTATTAAATGTGGGCTCATAAAACAGATAAGTTTTTCTTGCATAATTAAGCAACAAATAGTTATTATGCTGTTCTTTGTTATATTTGTGAGTGAAATTGGAATGCAATTTTATTCATAACAACTTTCACAATAGTTTGGACTATGCACAGTACCCTTCATATTGGACTTTCAGTTTACCGTACCAATTAGGGTAGGGTACCAATGTTGAAGTAAACTTCTTAGAGTTACCTTCTCGTTTAGTTCTTTGTGACTGGATACGACTGGTTACTCTAACAACCAAAGTATATTCAGCTTTAATTTCTCTGTCAAATGACTCATTTGTGTATATACAACCATTTCGGTTAGCTATTGAAAACATACCATCTCCTAACAAAAAGGAAAATCAAAATTAAGATAGTTATGATATAAAAGCAGTTTCTTGAAAACATATGTACCGTAACCTAAAAACTGTAAACCAATTGTGGCATAAAAATAATTTCTAGAAATGATACACTACATGATTCAAAATAGTTTGCATTGTTACTAATTGTAGTTTTTGATGACCTTCTGTTGCACTCTTGCTACTGTCAGTCATCGTAACCATGTCTCCTAATCTAGATCTCTTAACATACTTTTGAAGAACATTTAAGTTTTGATCACAATTTTGCTATAGCTTTTACAACATTGTATTGTATTTCTTACCTCCATCTATTATATAATTTAGATCCAGTCCATCCAGCTCTTCTGTTATATTCAAGTCAATGACTAATACACCTGGTGATAGGTTCTCTTCTATATATGCAGTATATTCAGTTCTCTCAAACTTTACTTCTGGTTGACGTACTGATAGTACAACCTAAATCGGAAAACATATTATTACAGAAAAAATGGACATTTTAAGTGGTATACTGGTTGGGTTATTTTTGTAACCCATTAAATAATCCTATTGAGAATTATAACATTATATTTTGTTTACAAATCAGAACACAAACAGGGGAATATCTTCATTATTTGCATAAAATTGTGAATTTTAATAGAGTTCCCCCTTCGGTCCAATTAAACAATTCCACCAAATCTTAAAATGTACTATTGAGAACTTAGTCCTGTATAATGTTCTAAAACTTTAAAACTTAAAATATGACAGGAAATAATCACACCGAGGTTTTAAAAATTCTGCAATATGCAACTGAAAAATCTATAAAGAGGATTCTGTAATATACATTCACATTTAATGTCTGTGTAGAAAAATAATATCTTGATGTTTTGATTTTATTACAATTACATTGTGTTTGTTTAATTCAATACATACGGTAGCCTTATCAATATTGGCGTTATCAGCCAGTTCTGCAGCCTGTATTAATAATCGATATGTAGTTAGTTCCTGTAAATCTTCAGTCAATGCCAGTTCACCATTTGTATCGTTTATTTGGAACACATCAGAGTAATTTCCACCTTATTAAAATGTGGAGAAAAAAACCCAGATTAAACATATTTAACCAAATCAACAAAGAGGCCTCATTCCCAAAATAAAAAGAAGACAATCATCAATTACTTGCACTTTTATCGTGTTATAAAGCTTCAAGCAAATAAATTTTCTTATTAATCTGCTTAACCTGAGCAAAAAATTGTTTTATCGAAATCCCACTCAATATTGTGTCCGAAAGGCATCCACAAATCAAACTTTTATCTGTCCTTAGCCTCATCATCAAATTCAGTTAAGACAATCACCTAATGAATCTACATTAAAAGTTTGAACATTCTACCTCAATTAATAGCAGAATTATTGTGCATCAGAGACAGCGATGGGCAGACGGGCCTTATTTTAATATTGTTATGTTTTTACAAGTGTAGGTGAACAGTTTTTTACTCAAAATGTAGTTGTGGACCATCCGAAAGATACCTTGAGGTCAAATGTTGCAAATGATTTACAAGTACAAGAACTAAATGAGTAAAAGTAACAAGGAATGTTCACGGTACAAATTTGTTTGGGGAGAACAGCATGGAAGACACTAGTAAAAATGTTTTTAGTTAATAAGTAGATTGTACTTACTTAGTATTTGATATAAATATTCACCGGTTCCGGCAGTTAAATTGACATTGATGACAGTTCCTGTTTTCATACCAACAAACAGATCAACAGAGTATACATTCTGGAGAAATTTTGGTGTTGAACTACTAACAACTCTTACTGTAATATCTTTAGTAGAATTTAATCGTGGTGTTTCCAGGTTGTAGGCCATGACAGTCAATGGATAAACAGAGTTGGTCTGTTTAAGTAAAGCTCTCATGGTAGACAGCCAACCATCTAATTAGAAAATACAAGTACATGTACATGAAAGTCCAATGTCTGCGAGGTACAGTTATCAGTGAACTACTCTTTGAACAAACAGTCTAAGCACTTCTAAACATTTGGTTAAAACAGTAACTTCAGGACAGAGCATGAATATCATAAAATCAAAGATCCATTAGTCAGGGTCAATAACTTTCGTAAAATTGTTCAAAAATCATCTTCGCCCGATATTATTCTGAAAATAGTTCCAGATCTAAACTCTGTAGATTGAATACCAAACAGATGGACAGACCAAGGGGAGACAACAATATAGGTGCAGATAGTATATGAATGTTTAAAAAGGTAAGATATTAAACTGCAGATATGCAAATGCTATTCACTAATTTGAAGTTTATGATTCTATATCAAAATGCTTAGTCAATAGATAAAGAAAAATCAATCTACTTATGGCATTTATCTGGAATAAATTCTGATCTCCAGAAGTTATAGCATATAGTACTTCTCCATTTAATCCGTAATCAGGGTCTGTCGCATTTATTTGTAGGATCTGAAATATATCGTAAAATAAAGTGGAAATAAATAGGTTTTAATTGCTCATCTCCACCAAGATACAGATGTCATTCTGAGACAAACTTTTGTATAATTTTGTCACGTTCTACAAAATTAAAACTGCCTTTTGATTTTACATGAAACACCATGAATGTTAATTTCGGAGTATTCAAACTTTATATCTAGTTGGCAAAAAATACTTAAAAGCATTGCTGGACAAGGACACAATGTGTGCCCACTGACAATTGTCTCGTATACAAATATTTTCTTTTAACCTTGGGCTAAAATAATTGTCAAAATAGTAACTGTAATTTAAAGCACAAGGATAATACCAGTAAGTTTTCTTTAAGCCTTTCTCTTTTAACTGTTTTTAATAGGATTCATGCTTAAAATAATATGGTTTAAGAGAGTGTTTAAAAATCCATTACCAAAAAGAAAATGGCATATGATGTCTGAGCAACAGGCATGGGGTAAGATAAGAAAGATTTTATTCAACAAGGACAGCATTATTGTATATTGTATAAAACATGACAATATCATATAAATTAGAGAACTTATTTATTTAAAAAAAAATCAGACTAATAGTAAATGCAGTGGGACTGCACCACATATAATTTACACAAAAACAAATCCACGGACAAGACACAACACGCAGAAATGACAAACAAGCGAATATATCAAATTAAGTGAATGGATCTGGGGGCTAGCCGTAAGCGTCCACTGCACTGTACAGTCCCGGGTCTGTAGTGATACAGACTTCACTCAAATTTGAAACAATCAGGAATATAACCCAGAGAAACCATTAAGTAATGCCAGCATGAGTCATGATCTGCTGTATGTTACAAGAAATATGAACATTGGCGTACGAGCTGGGGGGGGGGCTGGGGGGGCAGCCGCCCCCCCCCCCCCCCCCATTTTGGGCACCAAATGCTGGGAAAATTTGGGCACACAATTGTACTTTGTAAAAGTTGTATAAAAAAATATTGTGTTCTTGAATGCGTCCAATTTAACAGCGAATTTAAATTCAGAGTGTCTATAGTTAGGCAATTAAATAGAAATCTTAAGAGTCGAACCCTCTATTGTTTGGAGTACAGTAAGCCACAAATTACAGTTACATAAACAACTGTTTTTAGTTGTGTATATTACAAGTAAATAAAATTTAGTTCTCTTTTATTGATGATTTAGAAATTAAGAACTTATTCATCGCAAAAGAGATATTATGATTATTATGTAACATATTAAGAACCTAACTACATTTTTTGGGCACCAACCACCACCGCCCCCCAAGTAAAAAATTTCCCCGTACGCCTATGAATATGAGTGTAAGCATATTGAAGTAATAATTACCATTACAAGTAACCATATCGGTGAAATGTATAAAAAACCATGTAGTCTAAAACTAAATGTTCTAACTTCCAAGCCAAGTGAGAAACATCAATAGAATCGAGGTATATTGAATATAGTTAGGGCTATGTTCCATTTACCACAAAAACAGAGTAAAAAAACAAACAAAACTGAATACAAAGAAGTAAATGAGAAAATGTAAACCGTCTCTACAGACAACTGTCTGCCAACTGAATGACACAACGTAAAAGGCAGTAGGTTGCCAATGACGTCAAAGTTTGAAAATGCAATAAAAACCACAATAATGTGCATAGAGCCAAATAGAGAGGTAACTCTGCACATTTTTCATGTGTGCAAATGCCTTGGTGACAAAATATTACACAGCGATACAGCAGCTATATTACCTACCCGTCTAACTTGTCTATTACTTTCTTTTACATGAATAGTAGTTTCAGTATTCACTATCATCGGTATATTATCATTTATATCTTCTACTCTAACTATTATATTAACACTTGATGTTTTATTTGGTGTACCACCATCACTAGCCTGAAATATTACAAATATATCAACATTCGTTCGTTCGTTCTTGGTGTTTAACGTCTGCTTCCACATAAGTGATATCGCAGACAAGACAGGAGAGCCGAAGCTGATTCCTGTTTTTTAGAATATGATTTTGCAATCTTTCCATTTGGCCTTAGGCCATGGATTTGGTTTAGTGGGAAGTTCTTCCCTTTATTTAATATAAAACATATCGTTTGGTAGATGATCTCGTCTGCTTCTGGATTGGTAGATGTCATCGTTTTAGTGTTTATCGTATCCTCCCCTTACTCCACTATCCCACTCTCTGGGTTTGGTATCAGTTTTATTTGCGGAATAGTGTTTAGGTGCTGAGTTCGTCTGACCGTAACTCCCCCTTATATTCTGGGAGAAAATAATTATATACTCTTCACAATACACTCCTCACAATACACACTCTCCTCACAATATACATACCCCTCACAATACACACTATCCTCACAATACACAACACTTTTCTCAAAATACACAATCTCCTCACAAAATACACTCTCATTATAATAGACACACTCCTCACAATACACACTCCCATCACAATATGCACACTCCTCAAAATACACACTCCTCAAAATACACACTCTCCTCAAAATACACAGACTAATAATATCACACTACATACAAACATGTAAACCAAAAATCAATTACCTGTACAGTCAACATGTGTGAGGTTTCTTCTTCTCTATCTAACGAGCTTATCAGCTTTATTTCACCACTATCCTGATCAATTGTAAACTTGGAATCTGAAACAAGAATAAAGATATCATCTTAAATCAAATTATACTACATGGTGCTGTACAAGAAAGTCAGTAAAATCTACTTGTGTTTTAGACGACTTGACAATGAAATTGCAAAATGATTGGGTGTAAGTTTTTGCACAATTGTATTATTAAGTTTTATATTCCAGTATTTTCTTACTAACAACCAATGGTCCCATTGTAATGAAGTATATCTAAAACCAACATGGCATAATATATATATTTGTACATAAGTAAAGTATCACAAACTATTACAATGTAACAAGACAATTAATCCTTGTCATTGAGAATGGTAAACTTTTAGAATTGATAAACAGAGAATATCAATAAACTACATGTACTACCATTACAGTGCACTCTGTCACATCCGACATCGTACGGGGTCGTTACAATATGTCGGATTACGCAGAGTGTCGGAATACCCAGTTTTCTCAAAACCGGAAAAATTGTAACTTCGAAAACCGGAAGTATTATTATAATGTAGCTTCGAAAATAGAACTTCGAATCATCAGAATGTTATTTCCTTTAAAAATGATAAACCTTTCTGTACATTCAAAATTTTATTGCATTACTTTTTATTTCATTTAACATGCGTAGGCATTTTGAATAGGTCAAGTCTGTCGTTAATTTATCTTCTACGCCGTCTTCAGTTGATCGCACTCTTGTCTTTGCTATCACGTGTTCATTGATAATTGGCATACTCGATTGAACGATCCGGAATTGAATTCTCTCAATCCCAAAAATATTGACAATCGAGTGAAAATGGGTACTTCAGGCTACAACGCATGCGTCGACTGGATATATAAATATCTCATCCAACCATGCAGCCGAAACCTGTTCGTCCTGTTTAATTACGTCACAATTCTACTCACACCACCTCCGTCGTCGGGACTGACAGAACTGTGACAGGACTGAATTCCGCGTCACTCGATTGCAATTCTGTCAATTTGGGACGTTCCGGACTGTGAATCGAGCATCGTCACACGGTTCGAAGACATCCGTAGGGTGACCAAACTTATAGGTTATTCAGGTTCAATCGGCATGCGCAACGAATGTTTCCAACGGGTGCTAGGAATATTTTTACGACTGTGAATTCGGGGGAAAATTCATGGATATTCTTGAGTATTTGTCACACCTGTCGTACAAGAGATTAAAATTATCAAAGTAATCAACAAAGACCCACGGTAGCCAGTTTTAATCTCACAGATAATTGATTGGTGATTGCTTGTTAATCTTTTGTGGCTTCACACCCATCCAGTTTTAATCTCACGGATAATTGATCGGTAAGTGTTTGCTTCACACCCACCGATTGAAGGCCGGATTATACGGTGTCGATTCAATGGAAATCGTATGATGTCGTAATCCGGAACTTACAGAGGTTGAATTACCCAGAGATTTTTTGGCTGAAGTAATAAGGAAACAAATCGGGACATGAAAATGGTGTCGGATGTAACAGAGTGCCGGAGTGATCAGAGGTCGGATGTGACAGAGTGCACTGTATTTCTTTTTATCATACTATGGAGAATATTATTACCATTATTTCCTGTTATTATACTATAAGATATTTGTTTGTTTACTCCATGATCATCATCTGTAGCTGTTAGAGTTAACACCGTTATATTATCTTCATTTTCTTTAACAGACACGGTATATACACTTTCTTCAAATTTAGGACTATTATCATTATCATCTTCCACCGTAATATGAACCTATATCATTGAAAAAAATAAAGCCTGCAATATCAGTGACAAAAAAAATAACAGTTTTCTGAAAATAATTTTTGAATTTGAGAATCGATCTCGTTCATACCCTAGAACTGATTAAATATTATCAGTTTCAATATTGACATCAGGTCAGTATTATTCAACTCTCGGTTTTTATTTGCTCTACAGAAAAATGGTTTATAGAATTGTTAACGATATGGAACTAATTTACCTGTGTGTAAGCTGTATGTTCTGGAGTTCTACCATCTTTGACTTGAACAACAAATAAATATCTATCAAGACTTTCTCTGTCTAATGATTGTTTGGTTTTAATATGTCCCTGGAAAGTAAATATATATTGTTATTACTAAGAATATACCAATGAACATGGGCTGTATTCCTTCATATCACGAGTGAACACCAGGCTGTATTCCTTCATGATATCAGGATTGAACACCAGACTGTATTCCTTAATACCAAGATTGAACACCGGGCTGTATTCCTTAATAACAAGATTGAACACCGGGCTGTATTCCTTCATATCAGGATATATAAAAGTAATAATAAAATCATTAAATTAATGGTTGGTGTTTCTATGTCAGAATCCTAGTCAAAAAGATACAAATGCACATTTATATCACAGAGTTTGAAATGCATATATAACCTCAAAGACAGAATAAGCCAGACCATCAAAAATATGCATTATTTCAATGTTATTACTGTGTAATTGAGTCCATTTCCAGAAGTGATATTATAGTCACTAACCGTAATTGAGTCTACAGAAAAGATTTTTGAATCTTCCTCTGTGCTACTAACTACAGAATATGTGAAAACAACATTGTTCATGGCTATGGTGGCTTCAACTTGACCAACATCTGTACCTAAAACAAAATCAGTAGACACATATATATTAAAGAGAGAGAGAGAGAGAGAGAGAGAGAGAGAGAGAGAGAGAGAGAGAGATGGCACTTGCAATGTAATGTTATTTTATCAGGGGGAGGAAACCAGAGGATCCACGAGGTTGGACAGGCGACCCTACTCCTTGCATGTACAATTGGGGAATCTAAATAATGCCACTTGATGACTCAATGACAGACATTGTGATCTTACATGTTCACATTTGGCTACCCAACCCACTAATTAAATAAAGCAAAAGTATGTTATAAAATCATTATCTACAAAAAATCAACATATATATATAAAAAAACACAGGTATGAAAATACATATATCTTATAAAATCACTTGAAGAGTCACCTACAAGTTGTTAGAACTTTTGTCTACTCCTTTTGTATTGTACAATGTAATGTTGATACAATAAAATAAATTTGCAGATTCCAATTTTATGCGGTGAAAGGAAATCAACTGAAATGAGGTTTAACATGATACTTTTCTGCACCGAATGGGCTGATAAAGATGAGAGGTGAGGCACGAGGAAAATTCTCCAGGCTAGGAAAGAACCTTGAGTAATCTTGTCTATCCAATCGACTAGACACTCTTCTATATGCTGATCCTACATCTCACTCCACTGACAAGAGGAACCATGCTGGAAATTTTGAAACAAGAAATGGGTAATTTATAAATGTCTACTTACCCGCAGGTTTATTTTCCATTATAGAAAAGTTATAAAATGTATAATTAAACATCGGAACAGCAGTGTTGATAATTTCTATAGACAGATCAAGCAGTACTGATGTATTCCTTCCACCACCGTCACGGGCCCAAATTTCTATCTCTAAAGATGCATTTTGGGATTGACTTGAATTGATAAAACCACGATTGACTAATTCATCAATATCAAAACCCTTGGTTGTAATTATCCCACTGGTTGATCCAATCTGAAACAGTTCTGCCGTTTTGCCTTGAAGGTCAAAAGTTACATTTGAAAGATAGTCAATATCCTTAGCAACAGCTAACCAGACAAACGAATTAGGGGGTAATTTGTTGACAATGCTTGCTCTATAATTCTGGTTACGACAATCATCTTCTACACAAAATACTGGACTATTGTCATTGACATCTGTTATGGAGACTGAAATCTGAACTGACGACAATTGTGCTGGATTACCCTGATCCTCAGCAAAGACGGTAAACTTATATGTAGACATATTCTCTCTATCGAACATTTGTAGCACTGTCAAATTTCCAAATGCATCAATGGCAAATTTATCTGTGAATGAAAAAAGATGATGGTTTTCTGAACAGGATAGCAATCACTAACATGCAGTTGTTTACATTACAGGAGCATTCTTTCCCCATTACATACTTTGATCACCCATAAAAACAATTAAATACATTTTACGATCATTTGGCTAAAAAGGAAGCTACAACATGATAATTTTCATTAGTTGACAAAAGACATAAAACACATCCTCTAAACAAATGTCGTGCTTTGCTTTTATCAAGATATCAAGAGGATTTATTACTACATGGATATCTTACCTGTATCATTAATAAAATATTTAATGTTCTGATTTACACCAATATCAAGATCTGTAGCATTAACGGAACCAATGGTTATGTTTACTGTATTCTCAACTAGTACAAAATTATAATACGGTTGAGAAAATATTGGGCGGTTGTCATTGGCATCCTGTATGTCAATATGGATGCTAGCCGTACCAGAGAAGCCTGACTGATCCTCGGCGATAACTATTAAATTATATTGATGTTTCTCCTCCCTGTCTAAACCACCAGCTAACTTTAATTCACCTACACAAAAAAAACAAGTTAAGAATTATCTAAATTATATTTACTGTCATCTTTAACAGGTACAAATGTTGCTGAAAATTTAAATTCCTTATTTATCTGAATAACTCTGATATCAACTCTAGTGTTTTGCCAAATTAGTCTATTGGATTTGTATGTTAACTACTTCTTATGATTGATTGTTCTTGTTTTTTTATTATTATTACTTTAGTTTAATAACCCATTTAATGAAAATAAAATGTACTTGTATAGGCTAAAATGTCTCACACCAACAGAGATTTGGAAATGATGAGTTTGATTAATGATTCCTTTGAAAAAAATCTGACAAATATGGACAAATTTTAAAAATTAAGAATGTTAAAATCTCTTTGATTTGATTCAAAAACAAATTGTTGATTTCAATGTTGTAGGTTGATTTGCTTTGTGGGATGACTGTTGGTCTTTGTTGAAAATTATATTTCAATATTGTTAAAGCCAGTGTTGGTATAACTGATTTTCAGTCCTACTGTCGCAACAGTTAAGGCAGAGTATGTGAAAAAAATGAAATTGAAGCCAAAATTTAATTGCATACAGCTTTCCCCAACATTAATGGAAACAACACATCAGATTAACCCAACTTATTATTTTATTTTTACCTAAATCAAGGAAGTTTATCTTATTCAAATTTACTGACTTAGTGTTGTCAAAGGAGCACTACTGCGATAAACAACCTTTCATAAACATTTATAGAAATAGTAACTGGATGAGAATAACACATGACACAATTATATGGAATACATGTTACTTGATGTATTTATTTCAGCAATGTTTCGATGAGGGTTCTCCTGTCTTTATCAAGCAAATGTTTGATAATTCCGTTTCATTTATGATTTGTCTATTTCAACAACCATCGTTTCGTACTTGATAAAGAGGCTACAGTAATTTTCTATGGAGTTCCTTCCTGTAATCAGTGTAAAATATTTATGTGTAGTAATTAATGAAACTGTTTTTATTTTGTACATACCTGATAAACCATCTATAAAGAATCGACCTTCGCCATTAGTCTCTAGTTTGTACCTGACACTAGAGTTACCATCGTTATCTGTGTCAAAGGCAGAAACAATACCAACTGATGTAGATGGTTCAGCATCTTCTTGTACATCAAAAGTATATTCAGGCTGCACAAACTGTGGTGCCTCATCATTCTTATCCAAAATAGTCACAAATATTTTCATACTAGAATTGAGACCACCATTGTCTTCAACAATAAGCTGTTAAAGGAGAAATTTCAGTGAATAAATACTGTTAATTCAAGCCTTCGTGATATTTTTTCAAAGAAATACTAATGTCCAGTTAGAGTCAAGCTTCCTGACCAGCAATCATCTTGCACCTTGATAAACCTGTCTATAGTGCCAATATTTACGAATGGTATTTAGTAGTTGTATTAATCAGGTCACTGCATGAAAGATGGGAGATGAGCACTCTAAAAGAGTTACATAACCCATATAAACTGTTTTGCCTATGATTTGTAATGACTTAATATTTTCAGGTGAAACTTTCAGATAAAGTTAAATGGCTCTTTATGTACGTTTTGCGTTTCATTTGTATTCCAAACCAAAGTTTATTTTTGGAGATCCAGCAAAAATATGTAACTCCAATTTGTAGTAAATCTCATATGCTAATATAATTATTTACCTGTAGTTTGTAGAAACTTTTTTTTTCTCTGTCTAGTGATGAACCATTTGATAAAAAAACCTGTATTTCACCTGTTTTACTGTTAACTCTAAATGGTGCCGTGGCCGGCAATAAAAAATATTCTAAACCATCCTCACCATTTATACCATAATCAGCATCATTCACAATTAAACTTGGACTCTTTTAACAAATAAAAATATGAAACAATATATATATCTTTGTGCTCATACGTTTGAATGTCTATCGACTCAAATCCTTATGGTAGGGTGGTTCGTGTTAATATTTAAAACTGATCTAAATCATAATTTATGCAATATAATATAGTAGTCATCCATTTAACAGAGATATGACTATTATTTAATCTCCCAAATATTTAGTTGGATTATTTTATCGACCAGGTTACTCCGTCTATTACAGTCATTTAAACAATTATACAATTTTGGGGTTTAGGAATTGACCATTTCTCAGTCTCACAAATACGCCTTTCAAACTAATAAATATAAATTACCAATTTAACAGAAGTTCCTGATAATGAATCTTCTGCGACTGTTCCTGTATATCCATTATTTGTTATGTTAAATACTGGCCCATTGTCATTGATATCATTTACAGAGATATTTACTTTACAGCTTCCCTTCAATTAAAACATAAATCATAATATAATTATCATCATTATCCAGTTAAACAATAGAAATAAGCCAAAATAACTGTCTCATTGTATAATGTGTAGTGGTCAATAGAACACGTCATTCATTTTGAGACAAACACATGTTAATTATTTGTTTATGGTAACGTGTATGCCCTATGTGAAATGTAAAGCGGGAGGAAGGATTTTACCTAGACAGAGGTAGATGATTTTTCGATCTTCATGATTAAACACAAGTTCTTTGTCAGTCCCCAAGGTGCTGTCCATGAGAAGGAGGTTTGAAAAAGATTATTCTCGGTCAACATTGGGATTCAAGGCACACAGAGCCACGGTGGATAAGTGAGTAAGACGCTGGCTCGTTAGCCTGGAGGTCGCAGGTTTCGCGCCCGGTGTTGGCCGAGAAAGTTGATCCGGATTTTCCGGCTTGGTTTTCCCTTGTCAGTGGTGCATGATGGAGGGCCTGACAAGGACAGCTGTCTAGTCATTCAGATGGGACAAAAAACCAAGGTCTCTTGAACACATTGGTGTGCACATAAAAGATACTTTGGCAGTTGGAATTCGATATAAGAATAGGCCATAGCGCCTCTGTCCAGGCAAATTTCCCTCATAGCACACTGTATGGCATATGGATGTTAAGCAACATTTCATTTTTATTTTTTTAACCACCACACACATTATTACTTTAAAGATTGAACTTTATTAAAAGTTATTGTTAAAAGATTTTGCTAACCTTTAATACTGGTGAACCTGAGTCTTCAACAAGAACATCTAGACTATATACAGCCCTACCATTAAGATGTAATAATCCTGTCTTCTCTCTGTCTAACTCTTTTATAGTTGTTATTATTCCCTTAGAGAACAATACATTAAAATGTCATTTAAGTTACCATATATCACCACAATACAAATAAGATTTAACTTAGCAAAATAAGCAATTTTTTTTAATAAAGCAGATATCAATATCATTACCAACTTTTATTTACAGCACCCTCAAAAATCTGGGACTTTAATAAATATGAATGTTTGGCTTAAGTACATGCCTTGTGATATAAACTAATGACTGACCTTGTTCCCTACTGTCTGTATTTCAAAGCTACCATCTATATTATTGGATATTATAAAGTTGAGTCTACTGTTTTCATTTATATCACGATCTGTTGCAGTTATATTAAATGATTTGTTAAGGCTATTGGGACCTGTAAATAAATCACATTTGCTGATAACTAACTATGGTATACTTCAACAAAAATTTGTGATGAAATACACATTTAATATGAATATTTTAAATATTTTCTGGGGTTTAAATGTGTAGACCTCTAAATAAAGATAACCATAAGTAAAAAAACACATCTGCATCAATTATTGTGTACCCTGGGTCAGAAAATGTAAAGATTTGGCTAAATTTGTGAGGAGCTAAGAGTAGTAGCTATTTAACAAATAATTCAATTTTAATACCATATATTATAAAATACTAGCTACAAATGCAACCAACCTTCTTGTAAAGTATATTGATAAATATCTTGGGTAAATACAGGTGAATTGTCATTTATATCTAAAACTTCAATTATAACTTGAGATGTTGTCTGAAATTTATATATGGATAGTAAAGCTTATAATGAGTCTGTACACATGAAACTCCTCAGACAAGTTGGATATAGGTTATTTGCTCTTTAAATAATGCGATTTTAAACAATAATATTGTCATGCTCCAGTTTCTGAGTTGCTGAAACCGATGAAAAGTCCTTATTATAAAACACATGAATTAAACAAAAGATAATATCTTGTTTGAGAGAATAAAATTAATTAAATTAAGTTGCATGTGTAAATGATATATAAATCCTACATTATGTCCAGCAGAATCTACAGCAACAACACTCAAATTAAACTGTGAACTATTCTCTCTGTCTAAGACTTGTACTATCCTGATTTCACCACTGAATGGATTGATGTCAAAGTTTAAAGCTGAAATTAAAAACAGCAGTCCAATAACAAATCCTATAAATTTTTTTGTCAAAATGAAGTAATACTGTTTGCTTAGAAAAAGAAAAATATCCAGTCTTGTCAAAACAATTATCTTGTAAAAAGAAATCCATCAGCATGAGTTTGGTTTTAATAATCAATTGTTTTACAACAAAAATTTGTCCAAAGATATAATTGATTATATGTTTAGCAGTCAATAGTGAGTAAACTGTAAATGTCTAATTAAGCCATTTACAGTGAAGGAATTATAATACCTCACCATTGTTTTTGAGTGTGTATCGTATTTTTCCATCATCGACAGTATCTTTATCTGTTGCATTGACAGTCAATAAAAGAGAATTAACTGTTGCATTCTGAAATAAAAATATAAACCATGTCTTGGTCAAAAAGCATGCAGAACAAAACTCCAATTATATGGGAAATTTGCAATTAGCTTAAATATTAAATGTCAAAAATAATCAATAAATGTATTTGTTTTGTAACCTGATCAGTTTAACCATAAGAATCAATAGGGCATATATCAGCTAAATCAAATGTCATTCTAGAAGAGAAGCCTAATGTCAACTAATTCACAAAAGTGTATGTTTACTGTAACTATTTTGCTTTTTTAAATTGTTAGCTATCCCGACTATTTCAAGTTTTGTTCACAATCTATGGATGATAATGTAAAACCAATGTCGACTCGTGTACACTGATGCGTGCAAATAAAAAGAACCCTGACAGATGCAAACAAAAGTTCGGCAGATGGATTATACAATTTAACAAACTGACAAATCAGACATAGACAGCAAATACTGATTAGTATTTTGAAAAGTCAGGAGCTGGTAGGACCAATTTTCAAGGAGCTGTCCTAGATAGTCTATATTTTAGGGAATCATAAAGTTTAATTCAGTCAGGAAGACTTTTAGAAACCAATATTCTCGTCATGTACAACCATCTGAATCTCTGTGGCACCCTTTCATAGAACTACAAACTTTCAATGTCCATGAATTTCATGCGATCGTTAATTGACTTGATAGCCATTTCTTCATAATTATATATTTCGAGGTGAAACTTTAGACAAGTTATTTGCCCCATTTCGTCACATTTTGGCACTTAATTTGTATACTTTTAACAATTTTATCAATAGTTACACTGTAACATCTGGAACTACTCCAATAATGCTTTTTTCTGAGGAAAGTATGAATCCTGTATGTTAGTTATGTCTATTATAAATATAATGAAGTTGTCGATATGAGTTTTACTTTATAAAGTTTAACTTACTTCAAAAACAGAAATATTGTAAACCGCCAGATCAAAGACAGGATCAATATCATTGACATCAGTAACAGTTATCTCTACAGTCGTATTACTGGTAAAATAACCATCATTTACTTCCACCTGTATATGATAATAAATAATGCCACAAAAAATCACAAAAACCAGATTCTTTTTCAGAATTATATATAGTTGAATTAATTTAGGACTATCCATTATGTGAGAGCTAAGCTGTGTTTATCTGGCTTCAAATGTGATATAAATCATAATTCTGATATTTATTCACAAGATTATCTAGGCCATCGGATGGCTTTGATATTTAGTGCATTAGACAATGCCTACCACATCTGTATTGAACGCTAATATGGCCAACCAAGCCAAAATCTTCTGAAAATGCATAACATGACTCACAAAGACTGCCGATTAAGGCCTGACAACAGAGTTATACATAGCTTTCTATTCTTATATATTAGAATTTTCATTTGGATTGAAAGTAATGCTAATTTAATTGCATCCCCTGTCCAAAACACCATAAAACTAGCTATTCATACAGTAATTTGACAGAAATTTTCAACATATTCCTTTTAATTTATCTACTTTTGAACTATAATAACAAGAATGATCAGTTCTTTCTCTAAATCACACAGCATGCTTATTAAGTACAGTGGTAAAAACACAAGCTTGATGGTTTTTCTGACTCTGCTAGTAGTTATAATATAAAGAATCACACTTACTGTAAAGCTATAACTTGAAGTATTTTCTCTATCTAATTCTGCAACTAGAGTTACAGCACCAGTTGTACGATTAATGTCAAATTCTCCAGATCCCGTTTCTATTGTATAGTTCAACTTGAAAAAGAGAAATACATTGTCAGTTCCTGATGATAGTACAATGAGGTTGATTCTGACTAAATGTCACACACCTTCCAACTGAGATATTCACAAAACACGACAAAAACAATTCCAGCACATTTGTCTTCAAAACTAACTGATTTTTTATTCCCCCTATGCTCAACGGTGTAATCTTACAAGAAATGATCCAAAATGTGCTGTTTTTGGTTGCTATGGAGTTTTGCTATTTTTGTTTCATTAATTTACAATCACTTTTTTTCTGAAAAGTCAAATATCTCTGCAAATTTACGATAAATCGGCATGTTACATATACCAATTTAAAAGCGCTTAAAAACAAAATATAAATTCATGAGTAGTTGGATTTGAACTTTTTATCCCATATGTCTCAAACTGCCATAGCCAGTCACACATTAGAACATCTGACATTGACAGTTATGTAAAATACTATGTATCCTGGTCACAGCACCAATCAATAATACTAATACATCAATCATATACAATGCCACCTTTAAAAAAAAAAAAGAGTATTACTATTATAATCTTTTTGCTTTCCAGACATTTAGCTTTCAATATGAATTAAATACCTGTGGATTAAGATCTTTATCGACAGCAGTCAATACCAAAGGACGTCCATTCAACATAACAGGGTCACTAATCCCAGCTGCTTCACTTATTTCACCTTTATAGAATGGTTGAGGGAAATATGGTGAACTATCTGGTACATCAGTAACTCTAATTATTACCTGCAACATATATTATGAACAATATAAGAATATCTATAAATATATATTTGTCTATAAAAAAAACAAAGGGTCTTATATCATAAACAGGTTGTGATTTTATATTTTGGATTTAGATATTTACCACTACTAGGAATTATAATTTATTAGTTCAGAAGGATTAAACAGAAAATATAAATACAGATTAACTAACCTGACCTGTTGCTGTTTGTGTACTGGATTGATTAAAGGCTTGAACTAATAACCTATAATTGTCTGTTGTTTCTCTGTCTAAGTTCTTTGCAAGTTTTAGTTCCCCCTGACAAACATAAAACATAAATTATCCTTAGTGTATCTAAAATGTAACATAATATTTTGCTTGCTTATTTTACAGTCAGATAATAAATGCAAATCAGATGGTAAAAATTGTGAAAATAATTGTACTTACTGTGTGTGCATCGAGTAAAAAGAAACTACGATCTCCATCTATGTTAGTTATACTAAACTGATTTGTAGCCGAGGTTGTATTGAGAATTACAATAGTTTCATTTACTGGAAAATCTTCTGAGATATATTTAGTAATAAAAACTGGGCAGAAGCTAAGTGTATTTTTCTCAGTAACAGTTACAGTTAAACTTGTGTTGCTGCATAAGGTAAGGTCTAAACTGTTACACGCTTGAATAATTATTGTATAATTTCCGCTATTAATATTTGGGTTTTCTTTTAATGTTCCTGTTAAATTATTTACTGTGAAGGAGTCCAGAAAATTCATAAGGGTATACACAACACTTGCACGCGTGTCTGAAGAAATGGCATCTGCTGATATTGCAGTTACCTGCGATGATTCACAATCTCTTGATTTGTGGACATAAATGACAGGCTGAGAAGTTGGCCATCTCGGAGCTTCCAGTTCATCTTTGACTGTTATAATAGCTTCAACTTCAGTAGATTTCGAAATACTTGAAAGATCTCGTGCTTGTATGGTTAAATTAAATGAGTTTAGTGTTTCGTGATCTAATTTTTTCATTGTTCTAATAAATCCATTGGTGGAATTAATGGAGAAAGTCGACTGTGTATTTCCTGATGTGATCGCATATCGAACAACGCCTGAAGATCCATAATCAGAATCATTTGCCTGCACTTCTCCAACTACATGGCCAATTTCAACCCCCTCGAATACATCAAACTTATAAGAGTTGTTTATGAACACGGGGGCTGTATTACTGTCTAGTATATTAACACGAAGTTCCCTCTCCGCAAATCTGGGTGGTACTCCATGATCACTGACATGAACTTTGATATTAAAAACATCTTTTAAACTGCGATCAAACCTATTTGCCACTTTTAAAATACCGGAAGTTACATTAATATAGAATTTATCATCTCCGTTGGTTAACCAGTAAGTAAATCCATCATTCGAAAAATCTTTATCTGTTGCATCAATGTCTAAAACCATGTCATTGACTGTTACATTTTCAGGAATGCTTATATTGGTGCTATTGACAACAATAATGGGGGCATGCTCATTTTGATCCAATATATCAATCTGAATTATTGCCATGTCACTCATTTGTCCATCGGAAACTGTTACATTCAGGAATAAAGTCGGTGATGGAAGTTCATCTCCATCTATTGTTTGATTGACAATTATATCAGATCTATTCATTGTAAACAGATCATTATGATTTAGTAAGGTATATATTAGATTATCTTCAGTTGTATCTAAATCAGCTGCTACAACCTGAAAGAGAAAATAATGACATCAATAATTTCAATTTAACAATCTGATTAAAACAAAGACCCAGTTTCATTAGGGATTTTTATAGTTAAATTTTGTTTTGTTTTCACTGAGTTCACTACAGTGGAATCTGGAAGAGTTTTTAAAGACCACATAAGTTGTTCAAACTAGATTTTATGTACTCATAGCTAGTGGTTACTATATACACATTACGGCAAGTTCACATCAATCCGGTTAAAATTATTTGACATATTAACGGGAGGTCTCTTTTTGCGACTTTGAGTGAAGATAGCTGAATTAATTTTAATCAGATTGGTGTGAACTTGCCGTAAAGTTGATATAGTAACCATTGGCTATACGTACCGCAAAGTTTTCTCGGCCTTTCTTATGTGCCCTTTAAGTAAAATGTGTTCTTTAAGTAAAATGTGTTCTGTTTGATGTGAGGAATAAGCATATTATGAAATGGTATGTTTGGTAGTTAACCTTCATGTGAGCTGTACATAGAGTTCTGGGTGTAACCTACAGAGTGGTTAATGTAAATATAGTAGTCTACATATTCAGAGACACGTGAGCTAGCCATTACTTAAAACATCTCTCATTTTAAGGGAGTTAGGGTATTCTTTGTATATTTTTGTTTCTCATTAAACATTTGGATTTCTAATATTTTGGGTGTTATTTTATGGTTCAACTTGGCAAATGTTTATATAAGTATTTCATACAATCTGGAAGCTTAAATATGTGGTATACATAATTTACCTGTATAACTCTGTGACCAATTGGTCTATTTTCTAGTAAAGATGTTTGATAGGAATCAGATCCGAATATAGGTGGTTTATTATTTACATCAGTAACATTTATTTCTACTGATGTAAAATTAACACGTTTATCATCACCATCTATAAAAACATATAAACATATCAGCTATTTCATTTATACCAGAAATTTGACAATATTACTAGATAGAGAGAGAGAGAGAGAGAGAAATTGGGTTTAACGTCCACTCGAAACAAACTAGGTCATTTCAGGATTAAAATATGTTTTTTAAAATTTTGTTTACATAATTCGCATGCGCGTGGGGGTCTTTAGCAGTTGGAGGAGAAAACCCACGAGTTTGGACAGGTGACCCTACTCCTTGTCATGTACAACCGGGGATTCAATATTACTAGATCTCTCAGATCTACATAAAAAGCATTGATTTAATTAAGTTTTATGTATAGATTCAGTGTTGACATTTGTCTACATTTAAAATTATATGTCCACAGATAGAACATAGAACTGATGTTTAAAAATATATGATTGTATGTTCAACTGTTAATCCCTAAATAAATTGACTTTGAAACGAAAATTTAATCATAAATATTTTGTTCCATCACTAGTCAGACGAATCCAATAAAACTTTATTTTGACCTTAATCGAAGGGGTTTAGGTCCAGTTAATGTATATTTATGTAAATACACCTTTCGCAATGATTTGAAAGATCTTAAAGTAAAATAATTGCATAATCTATAAATCTTAATGTGTCATTGTCGTTCGAGAACAATGAACTTCAAACAGTCCTGACAGACAAAATGACTCTGGGCGAAAACTACAAATTGCACCGATCGAATCCAAATAATCGCAGAAACATTTGGACTCTTTTATGATATCTTCTGCAAACCAATCACCCACAACACCCTATACACACCACATACTAAATAATGGAATAACTTACTATCTGATGCCTGTATCAATAATTCATATACAAATTTCCTGTTATAATCCAGACAGTTATTACAGTTGAGAGATATGTCACCAGTTGTAGAATTAATATAGAATTTATCACCAGTATTTCCAGATTTTATAGAATAAGTTATATGCCCATCTTCTCCCGAATCTTGATCTTGAGCTGAAACCTGAATTATCCTGGTCTATTAGACAGATTTACTTGATTACTCAGAATAACTTACTACAAACAGTACACAAACTGATCTCCATACTATCCAAAATTATAAAATGATTGAAAAAGCCAACAAAACCTACAACAAGCGGATGGACAGGAAACAAGCTAAAAAAAAAAGTGATTTTTCGTATACAATCAGGGGACATAATTCAGGAGGTTATGATCCGATTTACACAATATAAAAAGGAATCTCTAGGATATAAACATATATTTTAAGTTTCATCAAAATCTGATAAAAATTCTAACTTCTAGAGGGTCTACAACCTTGGTATTGCATAATTTTACACTATTAGTGTTCAAGGAGCAGCCATTTTGTCGGGTAGTTTAAGTCTGATTTTTGTGAAATTCGATCTCAACCATCATTAGGTTGTAACACTGGTATATTTTAAATTTTTTAAACTCAGATAAAAATTTTGACCTCTACAGGGTTTACAAGCTAAAAACTGGAAATTACGATCCGATATGCGTGAATATGGAAAGGAACCAAAATCTTTGGGATATAAACATAAGTTTCATCAAAATCGGACAAAAATTGTAACTTCTGCAGGTCCACAACCTTGGTATTACATACTTGTACACTATTTGCATTCAAGGAGGAGTAATTTTGTCAGGCAGATTCGGTCCAATTTTTATGTAATTTGAATTCGAACTCAATCATCACAAGGTGTAACTGTGATATATTTAAACGGTTTTTAAAATCGGATAAAAATTGAGACCTATAGAGGGTCCACAAGCTAAAATCATGATTTTTTTTTACAATCAGGGGCCATAATCCAAGAGCTTATGGCCCCATATCTACGAACATCAACAGGGACCAAGATCTTTGGGACGTAAACACATGTTTTAAGTTTCATCAAAATCGGATCAAAATTGTGACCTGTAAGAGGGTCCACAACCTTGATATTACATACTTTTACACTATCTGCGTACATTTTGTCTGGCAGCTTCGGTTCAATTTTCTCAAAATTCGGACTCAATCATCATTATGGTGCATCAGTGATATATTTGAATGTTTATTTTTAAATCAGATAAAAATTGTGACCTCTAGGAGGACCACAAGCTAAAAAAGCGATTTTCGTACAATCAGGGGACATAATCCAGAAAGTTGTGGTCTGATATGCACAAATATCAAAAGGAACCGAGATCTTTGGGTTATAAACATACATTTCAGGTTTCATCTAAATCGGATAAAAATTGTGACTTCTAGAGTGTACACAAGCTAAAAACATGATTTGTCCTACAATGAGGGGCCATAATTCATGAAGTTTCGATCCAATACATGCCAATATTGAAAGAAACCAAGATCTTTTGGAGATATACCTATATTTCAAGTTTCGTCAAAATCGGATAAGAATTGTGGCCTGTACAGTGTCCACACAAAAAATTGCGGACGGACGGACAGGGGTGACGACAATATACATCCATATGAAAATGTGGGCATATAAAAACATATATATACGAGTTCCAAAATTAATCAAAGTTGAGTCTAACCCGTGAGTTTTCTATTTTTCCTGGAAGATCTCCCAAAAACTCAGCCTGCGCCTTATGTACACGTGCGCCTAATCTATCAAAGAATATGGTACAAAGTGGTAAGCTACCATCTTCCCTGAATTAAGGTAAAACAGATCTACAATTCAAACAAATGGTACTAGTAAATCTTTTTCAATCTTTTTCTGTGCTATCATTGGGTTTGACATGTCATTCTACTCAATATATATGAGTGACATGCATGGGGCGGTGCATTTTTCCTTTTCATTTCAGTAGTTCACATAGCTTCTAAGCTTACATTTTCGTCTATTTTAAGGTTCCGTGGAACTGAGGTTTATACCCTTAAAGGATTTGACATTCCTAAACAATTTTTGTTGCACGTTTACATTCTAACTTTCTTAACATTCTCACCTTCACAACTTGTGTTCCAGCACTTGCATTTTCAAGTACATTGCCACTAAATGTACCAGTGAATATAGGGGAATACTCATTGACAGGTTTAATAGTGACGATAACATTAGTAGAATTAGTATGTATTCCATCACTAATATTGACTTGAAGATTATAATCAGAGATTGAGTTTTGTTCATCTAAATCAGTCACTGCATTTGTTGATATTGATCCTCTTGATGATATAGTAAACACTGAAATCAATTATTTACAACAGTGAAATCGGTTATTTAAAACAGTGAAATCAATTATTTAAAACAGTGAATTATTTAAAACAGTGAAATCAATTATTTAAAACAGTGAAATAAATTACTTAAAACAGTGCAATCAATTATTTAAAAAGTGGAATCGATTATTTAAAACAGTGAAATCAATTTTTAACATAATGACCATAAAACTATTTAAAAATAACAAATATGACATATCATAAAATTCTTTAAACTAAAAGTTCAACTAATCTTTTATCGAATAGGAAGCTGAGTTAATAAAACGTTACATAAAACAATAAAAAAGTATTCTCTTGGTAGAAAGAGGTGTATACAAATATCCACTGTACCTGAATTATATGTGTGTAAACTATATTCTATAGAATCTAAATCTTTATCTATGGCGGATATAACACCGACTAGACTGCCAACTCTCTGTATTTCTAATAGATTAAAACTATAAGGTGTGTTCAAAAACTCTGGTATGTTATCATTTGTATTATTTATTCTTATCAGCACTGATGTAGAACTAAAAAACAAAAAACAATGTAAAATGATTCAATTACCGAAAATATCATTAGTTCTTTATAAATAGACATTATAATTACAGTACTTTGATTAAATAGATTGGTGTGTGGGGGGGGGGGATACTAATATTTTAGTCCATGTACAACAACTTCAGTTAATATAGGTCTAATTGAATGCACTTGGACTTATAATAAAAACAATAATTAAAAGCACTTATAAAGCACTAACATCCTGCTAGAATGACAGAATGGCTGATGGACAGTCAAGAGCAACACTATAACTATATGCCCCAGCCATTTTGGGAGACTAAAATAAAAAATATAGAGCTATTTTCTACATCTAACAAATAAATACAAGGATATTTCATGTTGTGATATGTGACTGAGGTAGATAATTATACTTTCTAATACAAAAGTCTCGATCCTGTATAATTATGTCTTCCAGTCAAATAATATTTATTTTATATGCACATACTATCTATTTTAAAATAAGACATTAAAATATAAATTACCCTGTTTTTGGAGGAATGCCTTTATCAATAGCTTGTAATGTCATTGTGTACTGTCTTGGTCCCAATTCATAGTCCAGACTTCCGTTTACTTTTATCTCCCCACTACTTTTATCAACAGAGAATGGAACCTAAAATAATATTGACACAAACCACAGATATTGAATGTTGTGCTCTATAAATGGGATGATATTAATTAATTACCCTATTTTATGCAGTAATATACCGCAAGCCGCAGCTTATGGAGTATACATTTCTCAGTTTATCTGATAGATGCTGTCTACAATGTACCAAGGTTATAAACTATCTAAACTTAAATGCATATTCAAGAAATGTACATATGTTTTATGGTAATTCACTTGGTCTTATAGTTGTCATGGTTGGCACCAGTGGGACAGAGTAGGCTTACTTTTCCATGGACATGTTACAATACATCACTATCAGGTACGATTGCTTTGAAAGTTCCCACATTTAGGAAGTCAACATACCATTTAATCACTTTAGCTTTTCATCTTAAGGACTTTTTGTGTTTGATTACCCACTACATATGCATTTAATTTATCATAAAACTAGCTTAGTTACTCAGTGCTGCATGGGTAAGTGTTTTAAAAAAATTGATTTTGAATAAGATTTTGCTACAAATATGAACAGTTTTGCTGAGAGAAATGGCCCTGTCAAGAAAAGTATGGTATGTTCATGATCATTAATAGTTAATCATTTAGTACTGTAAAATAAATACTGGTTATTATAAAGTTATTTTAACATTTATAACAGATTTACAATTTTTTCAATTTGGCAAGCTGGTGTATCGGAAACAAAGGAATTCTTAATCAATACAAATTAAAGGTGGAAATAACTTCTTACCGGTTCAATGACAGAATATTCTATAGCTCCATTATTCCTGCTATCTATATCTGTTGCTTGAACCTGACAACCAAATTTTGAATTTATTGGCTTATCTTCTAAAATACTGCAAAGGTACTCTGAAATGAAATTTAAATATATACCTATGGAATTTCTAGCATGAGTAAGGTAAATGTTACTTTATACAAATTGTCCATAGATCTCTCATTATTGTGGATAACTAAAGAATATTTGTCTCATCTGAACTGTCTCCCTTTATAAAATAAGAGATTTTATTTTAGAATCAAATTCACTGTCCATTACTAAAAAGAAGTTTGCTACAAAAAAAACTAACTCTCACATTTTAGAAGTCAATAGTTAACCTGGTCTTATTTAAATTTCATTCTGTTATAATTTTTCAGTTGTTTACTACTCCACGTCATAAATAATTACAAAATAGAAAGGATTAATATAATGAAACATATTTTGAAGATGAAGTTTTAATTACACTGAAATATTTACCGTTTGTAAAAATAGGTGTGTTATCATTGACATCGTTTATATGTATTGTAACATTAACTGTTGTTTCTACTTCTGTACGACCAGTATCTCTAGCACCAACCTGTAAATACATTCATTTTATTTTATTTTTCACTTCTTGTTAGACATTACTTAGTTAATTTAGATACTGACTTTCAATTAAAGTAAAATAAGACTATCCTTGTCATAGTTGTTTTAACATAATATGGGTTCCCAACTGTCCCTGGTAGCCCCTGTGAGACTGACAAATAAACTGAAACCTAGTCGTTTGGTTAGGACAAAAAATGTTTGCAATCTGTATACATGTTGGCATGCACCTAAAAGAACCCTTGACATATGGAATTTGATAAAGAGTAGGCAGGAACGCTGCTGTCCAGGCAAAATATAAAATAGTAAGTCACATACAAAATGCATATGTAGAGTGATAGCTAAACAAAAAATTATTTTGGCACACTCAAAAGTTATCAGTGCATCAGTGCCCTTTTACTCTAGTTATGAAAGGTATCTTACTGTAAGGTGAAAGAGTGTATTGTTGTTTGGAGGATCATAATCTGGTGGTGTTTGAAACTGTATTAAACCAGTAACAGAATCTATATAGAAGTCATTGGTATTATCTACTATAGAATATAAGACATCTTGATAAATTGCTGTTGTATCATTATCTACAGCATGAACCCTGGAAAACACAAAATAACTTTCAATTGGTTAATTACAATTGCAAAAGTACCAAAAAACTTGCTTGCTATATGAGCTTTGCAAACAAGAAATGGCATCAGATGTGCTAAAAGGAATAAAAACACACATCATGACTTTTAGCTACCTAGCAGAACAGTAGGACGTTAAACCCCATTTCATTTCATTTCATTTTTTTAGCTACCTGGAACAATGTTTTGAAAATCCAAAACCAATGAATTGTGGCGTCAGGTGTTCTTGAAGAAGCAAACATGTCGTTTCTCATACATAAACTATTTTAACTACTTTCATTCATATCGACAAATGTATACTTATAAAAGACAAAGATAAATTATTCCATGAAAAAGTAGTAGTCCATCTAATTAAAACTAGATGTTATCTTCGTTCTTTTTTTATAGTTGGTCATGACATGTTTTAAAAAAGTGTGTTCTGAACCTGTGATAACAACATAATAGTATAGTTGATCTGGATAAGATGGCCAATCAAATGTCTGGATTCAAACGATTTCATGGAATTTTATGATTCACAATTTTTGATAGGTAGACTTATCTTGAATAGACCAACCAAAATCTGCATGTTCTACAAAGAAATATCTTTAGACAAAGAAGATGTGGAGGAAAACAAAACAATCAACCTTAATAGTTCATGCAGAGAGTTTGGGTGGCTGAGTGGGTCCATTTACTTTTATACAATTATTTAATGCACCAGTAGGCCAATGCCAGTCATCACTTTCAGTACTCAAAAGGATCGAGAAGATTTTACTTTTAGATACCTGTAGTAATCTAGACAATTCAATTAAATATTCTTTGATAACCACTGATTGATTGATCAATTGGAAAATTGTTCTACAAAAATGTTTTTTATTTATACTACTTTATATTCTGTATGATCTAAAAGTCTACATGTATATTATCCTTTTATTTTAGAAGAGTGTTCTTTTAAATAATAAATAAAATTTGTAATTACTTCATTTGATTATTGTGTGTTAAGCCTTCATCCAGACTAAAGTTATAATTCATCACATCAAATACAGGCTTCTTGTTATTCACATCCTACCAATTCAAAAGAAAAAAAAAAGAATTTGTATCATATTGACAACATTAAAGAACCATTATAATCATGTTTTTTTTCCACAATTTTAGAATATATAGTCACTAAATTTGAAAGTCTTGTGCATGCATAGGCATACAAGCCCAATGAATTGGTGAGGGGGTAAGGGACAGAATTGACATGCCCGAAAAGATTCCATTTATAGTTGGAGGTATGGTGTGCCTCCATCGTATGCCCATGATCATATGGAATTACCGCTGATCTCCATGGAAATTAAGACATTGATTTCTCTGTTTAATTTAATCAGGTCATCCTCAATTCCTAATATATTGATTCAGTAGTTATACCAAATTGTCCAACCATAATACTATACTAGCAGAAATTTTTCAGTGTTAAATTTGTCAGAACTGGGCAACCATATTTCTTGATCATTTGATGGAGGGCCTGGCAAGGAAAAAGCAGTGGATGGAACAGGTCTACCTCTACAGTACATAAATTGGTGTAAAAGAAACTCATAACAGTAGGCTTTCGATGAAGAACATACATCAAAATTTCCTTCAGAGCATAATGCATAGCGAATGCATACCCTTCTTCCTTATCTCAATGGTGCAGGTAAGGCAACTGTATCATTTCATTTTATGAAGACATACGTTACAAAACAAACAATCTACTGAAGGTGATGTAAATGTAAATAACATATCTCAATTACCCTCCATCTTCACTGTATTCCATATTGGTCAACAGCTCTGATGAAGGTAATTTGCTGCTTCGATTGATATGAAGTCTTAGCTGTCCAAGATTTACAGACCAGTACATCATTGAAGACCAGTCATAACTTTACTAACTTTACTAATTCCCCTTAACCCTTGTCCGGCGTTACCTGGATTATTCCGGTATCGGCACAAGCTATGGCACACAGAATATTCCGGGATTGCCAATTGTATTTATTTCCAGGCGTTTTAATACAGTTAACTTCCATGTTCGAGAGGTGGCATCTTACTAAACAAAAGAAGTGCCATCTGCAGTCATTGCTTGTTGCTTTGTTTACATATTTTTTGCTAATTTTTCGAAGATTTTGGGGACTCATGTGATTATACATGTCCAAAAAAAAACGTAACGTTATGTCACAGCTAACTGCCGATATCACAGTGATAAAAATCTGATTTGCATACTCTGACAGGTATATAGGTTTTAATAGAGGCATCCAATTAAATGTCATGCATGTATTCCCAAAATAATTCAGCTGACGACGGCAACAATTTAACAGCTTAAGGGTTAAATAACACTTCATCTACATTTGGACAAAAGTTTAAAAACAATTAAAAATGAATTATGCATAAATTGTCTCATTACCGTGGAGAAGGTACTTTATTGAGAGTAGTTAGTGGTACTTACAGTGACGTCAATGAGAATAGACATGGTGCCATTATCACATTGGTTGGGCATACAGACGTATGGTACAATATTATAAGCTACAACTATAGCAGTAAATGTACCAAGTGGCAAACTTTGGTTGTTTTTTATACACACACTACCATTACTCATCACCTGTATTAATTGTGTATCTGTAGTACTTGTTGTATAATGTATCTCTTTATTTATACCAATATCCAAATCATCAGCCTGATAAAGAATAAAATGAAAAAAACATAATTCAAAGAAATACCTCACATTAGGGATGTAACACTATCCTTAAGATCCTGTTCCATGATACAAGTACATGTAGATAGTTATATTAACAATTACAATAAGTAAAATTTAACCATATAAATAAGTAAAATTTAACCATATAAATAAGTACACCTGTAACAGAATATGGAAAGCCTTTAATATTGCCAACACTCCACGATAAATTTCTGTGAAATGTTATCTGAAATTTTCGATCTCCCGTAAATGGTGGTCTTGTGCAAACACATGGTCTGTATAGTTCAAGGCCACTACTGCTCCTTAATAATCTTTGAAAATTATCTGGTTCTCCTTGTGCTTTTTGAGATAGTGTCCAATGGTGCTGTTAAGAACCATCCACATAATCCTCCGAACAGTGTTACTCCTGGGTACAAGTAGAATAAGATAATTCCTAATCTGGACATGACAAGGAGTGGGTCCCCTGTCCAACCTCGTGGGTTTTCTCTGGGTAATCCGGTTTCCTCCCACAGCTAAAGACCCCTACACTCAAGTGAATTATTGAAATAAAAAGTGAACCATATATTAGTCCCGAAATTACCTAGTTTGTGTCGAATTCAGGTTTTTGGCCGGATGGCAGTATGGCCTAAAGGCCCTCTTGCTTGCCTAGCTTATGACCTAGCGCATCGATACAATACATTTTTATGAGGCTAGGCATTGTCATGCCATAAGCAGTTGCTACAACAAACGACCTCTTCCAAAGTTCCTGAATGCCCATTGTAATAATCAGAATTAATTAACCAACCAACCTTAGCCTCATAAAAACATCCTGGATAAGATTCTTCAGGAAAACTCAAGGAGATGTTTTTCTGTGTAAATGTTGGAGCGTGATCATTAATATCTACAACTGTTATCTTAACCTCAGCATTAGCTGATCGTGGCTCATCACCAGAGTCAGTAGCCATGACATACAAATCATAAACTTCTCTATCTTCACGATCTAAAATACCTGTTGTAGATATTTCACCAGTACTATTGTTGATAGCCAATGGAATACTCACACCTCTAAATAACATAAGAATACCAAATCAATTCATTATTGCAAGCTTACTATATGCATATATTTTTCTTCTTTTTTTTGGGGGGGGGGGGAAGGACTATGCCCTAACTTGTATTTAATACATTCATAGCTACATTCATATAATTTTCAAATGGTTATAATGTTTTCTTCATTTGTAGACATATTCTTGTAATCATACTGCTGATTGGTATGTAACACCAGAATTATAAAATGTTTGGGAAATGTTCCCTCTTTTCAGGTTTTTAGTTACTGGATTGTCTATTATGACTATAAAATCACTAATTACACTTACTGTGCTGTGAGTAAAGAAAATTTCAGTAAAGCATTTTCGCCAGTATCTGCATCTTTTACCTATGAATAAACATGAAAAATTAAGATATTTATACATATGCATTAAATTTAAAGAAAAAAAAACTCAGTTCAAAAGCAACAAATACATTTCACACTTGTCGGCTATATCACCACACAGCCAAAAATATATTAAATACAGAACTAAAACTTAAAGCCACAGGCCTATACAAGCAAGGGTACTATTAAAATAACATATATATTAATCAAAATATAAGGTATTAATAACTTTGCCATCTTTCAGGAAGGCTATATATCTTTAGATCAAAATAGTAGGTCAACATATTTTTAACTTTTGACTTTTACTATATGAACAATCTGGTTTGTTGTACCTTTCATATAGAAAATATTGTGGTTGATTCCAGTCATAGAGCCCATTTGGTTGTTTTTACCTCATCCTCAATAATTTACAGCTTACCTCTTAATTAGGCGATATATAATGACAGTTATAGCAGAGTAGAAATGATTTAAGCAAGCAAAAATATTTTAGGCCTAATTAGGCCTAAAATATTTTTGCTTGCTTAAATCATTTCTGCTCTGCTATTATAAATTCAACTGTAGCAGGAGGTGACAGCAGACATCACTCCCACCACTCAACTATACATATGTACTTACTAGATCTTTTATTGGGTTATCAGAACTATTTATTGGAGCAGGAGAACTGCCTTCAGTTACATTCATTTCAATTAATGATTTACTAAACACAGGGTTGTTATCGTTCACATCTACCAGTATTACATACACATAACCAGATGCAACCTGAAAAAAAATAACATGTAGTAGTGGCTATTGATAAAATATCGAAAATTATTATCAATATGTAAATATAATATGCCAATCATTATATGTGTCAATACTGACTTGAAATACTCTGAAACAAGCATATAGTAAGGCTGAAATATTGTCAGGCTGAACTGTAAAGTCTTTAATAGTTTAAGGCCAAAACTGGTCAGAATATATCCTATTATTATATTATACTGTTAAACATACATTATGCAAGAGCTAAATCTGCCTATTGCAGGTCTTTCTTTAGGCCTGAAATGTTATCTAAATTATTAATTAGACATTAATTAACTTATCCAGACCATAATCAACTCTCGATCTCATCGCTAGCCTGTGATATTTACTGGATTAGGATCCGATTTGCTGCTCAACTTTCATTCATGATTTAATAATGAAATGGATAATCAAAAGACTATGTTTTTTATCGTACCGTCTTTAGTAATGATGATCGAGGTTAGGCCGAAATTTCAATCGCTAAATTCTCTGTTCAGAGTGGATCAATTTGACAGAAATTTTCAGTTTTTAACTATTCTAGTGAGAACTGCCAGCTCTTTATCTAATCTCCCATAATGTATCTCTAACAAAATAATGATTATAACTTACCTTCCCTCTTGTATCCCTAACTACAATAGTTAAATTATATCCACTCTTCCTTTCTCTATCAAGACTACCATTGGTTTGTATAACACCACTATTAATCAAATATTATTGATCTTGGTTAATTCACATTTTACCAGTAGTGTTTAACATGATCAGATTTCTAATATTGGGATTCTTGCATACAAAAACATTACGGAAAGGTGCAGTTGTCTAATGAATGCGTCGTTGATCATTGAGACTGCCATACATGAAAGTATGTGACATGGAGTAATGTCATTGCTTGTCCAATCTGATATGATTTTCCCAAGATTCCTGCTTCCCTGAGTTACTCTTTCTTTCTCACCCTTAGTTTTTGAACAAGGTATTTATGAACTATATCTGCTTCATTATAATATATTATGTACTAGATAGATTGGGGGGGGGGGGGGATTTAACATGTGTGTGTTAGATGATAAAGCCTTTCATTGAGTCAAGTAGCACGGTTTCAATTCCCAACATGTACGTGACAAGGAGTAGTTGGGTTGCCTGTCCATACTTGTGAATTTTCTGTGAATCCTCCTGTTTTCTCCCACAGCTAAAGATCCTCATGCGGAAGCGAATTATTGAAATAAAATGTTAGTTCCGAAATGACCTAGTTTCTGACAGAAGTGATCTTTAAGTTTCTTCTTTTAGTTAAAAACAATTATGTCAATATGGATGTATGTATCAAAATTTGCAAAGTACAAAGCGGTTTCATTTAATGATAAATTACCAGTAAACTCACCTCTGATCAATTGTAAATTTTTGTTCAGAAAATAATAAAGTATAGCGTAAATTAGTGTCATCTATTTCATCCACATCATAGGCCTGAAATTATCAAAAATATTGAAATATTACAGAATGTTGACAGAATGTATGATAGTGGACTATGATCCCACCTTTCTTTGTCATATTGTGTTTTTGCCTTCCTATAATATAATATCTACTGATAGAGAATCGGTTTCAGACATGTTCGTTAAGAATATGAATGTAATAGACTTTAGGCATAATACTAGGCCTTAGTTTAGTGTTATTTTTGAAAGAGAATTTTCCATGTTACAGTCGACTATCTCAAATATCGTATAAGAACCTAAAATCTCAAATACAGATAACATGGAACATTTAAAAAAACCAAGCTCCAATCCAGTTCTAAGGCAGCCAAAAATGCTCCAATAAGTACATTATGTGTAATTCCCAAACAAATGAGAAGTGGTATGTATCAGTTGTTCTAGAAAGACAAGATTGACAGATAAGGTGAAAACAATATACAAGCATATTAAAAAAAAAATTGTTTTCTTTCAAATGAATACAGTGTTTTCAAATGTTGTGTTGATTAGTGAAAATGTGAAGGTAATGCTAATACAGATTTATTACACAGATGAATATAGTGTTTTTAAATGTTGTGTGGATCAGTGAAAACATATTTAGCTAATATAGATTTATTACACACAATGTTGTGTGGATCAGTGATAACTGGAAGCTGGATGTTCTTACCTCAACTCTGTAAACCAGTGAACCAATTTCTATATTTTCTAAAATCTGAACAGTAACATTTGTATTAGTGATATTAGGTGGAGCTGTGTCTATATCTGTTATGTTTACTATAGCTGACATTATCGTCTGCCTGAAACACACACATATGTATAAGATCTTTATTACATACCTGATTAAAGTTACTTTAGTATTGTTTGTAAATTTTACCAAGAGATAATTAAATCATTACAAAAAGCTGCCAATATCTATTACTGACTGGAAAAAAAACCAATAACAAAAAATGATCAACCTGACAAAAAGAAGTTGTTATTACTCTATTGGCCTTCCACCATGTTCCTATTTAATTATAAAACACTCACCTTCTCTCTTCTCCATTCTGTGGATTATCTTCAGCTAAAACTTGTATATGAAAAATCCCTGTGTATTCTGATAAAGATGCAACAACTGTTATATTTCCTTGTGACTCATTGATCATAAATAAACCATGCGTTTGAAATAAACGGTATGTAACTTTAGCATTTAAGCCTTCGTCACTATCATTAGCATAGACCTATAATTATAAAATAACTTTAAAGATTTAGCAAACGGACAAGGGAGAATCAATCTGGAAATTTCAAAGGAATTTCCCCAGTGTTGACCTGCATTGAACCCAGAATCTCTAGGTTCGTGAGCCAACATCATACTTACTGAGCTACGGTGGCTCCAATATGTAATATATAACATCTTGCCTATTTTAGTTCACTTTACCATGGGTTTTTTTGTTATAAAATCTCCAGATAAGGTATACAACATTTTTCAGAGTTCTATGATCATCACAGCTTTGGTTTGCACAACCCCATTTCAAAATTCATTCTAGCGCTAACAGGGGTAACTCAAATGTTTAACCAAGAGAGCAATAAAAAAATTACCATAATTTTGATTAAAAGTTACTGACAAAAATATATTTTAAAAAAAAAACACTTAAAGAGCTAAGCTTTTTTTATTTAGGTCAAAATTTGTATTGAATTGGGATGATTTGATGCAGCATGCTCTATATAATTACTATCTTTATGGAAAGATTAAGCGAGAGTCGCTTTGTTCACCAATTCTAATTTCAGTTTTGGCTTAATGTGTCAAAGGCAGAACACATAAGGTTTATCAGTTTATCTATATGATATGTAAAATTCTCTTTCACTAAAAACAGATAGTCATCCCACAAAACAAATTAACATACACATAAAATATCATTTTTGGCCCAAATCAAAGAGGTCTAGTCATATTTGTAAGAAAAAGTATTAACAAACCTGTCCAACCAAATCCCCTATATGAGCCGTTTTATTCACTTTGAAATTTTGTTGGCCAGATGGATAGAATATTGGTCGGTTATCATTCACATCCAGTACTGTTACTATTACCTCACTCTTGTTACTTCGCCTTGGATTATCGATTAAAAATTCTTCAGCATACACCTAATTGGTTTTAAAATGTCATTGACAAGAATGATTAAACATACATTATGCAAAAGCTAAATCTGTCTATTGCGGGACTTTCTTTAGGCCTGAAATGTTATATAAACTATTAATTAGACATTTATTAACAAAACAAGACCGTAATCAACTCTCGATGGCATTGGATACTCAAGATTTTAGGCAGATTAGAACGGTTCGCCATTTAAAAATTTAATTAAAAATGGGAAAGCGAGGCTAAGTCTCGAATATACCAGTGCCCTGGTTACCACAATGCACACATCTTGTCAAAACTACAAACAGTAATAACTTGGCTCAGGTAGATTAGAACAGTTCACCATTAAAAAATTTAATTAAAAATGGGAAAGCAAGGCTAATTCCGAATATACCAGTGCCCTGGTTACCACAATGCACACATCTTGTCAAAACTACAAACAGTAATAACTTGGCTCAGAATGAAGTAATTTGAATGAAATTTTCAATATTTTTATTTTACATTATCTATTTTTAAGCTATATAGCAAGAATGGTCAGTTCTTTATCTAAACCTTACATAATGTATCGTTAACATATGAAAAAGTATTCAAAATAAGTGAATAAAAATTATTAAAGTATCTTAGAAAACGTGTCAGGTTGGACAAGTGGCTGAGCAGTTGATTGATTGGTTAAACTGTGTGATATAACATCAATATCACTTTCAATAAAATCAGGTAAAAATGATCCTAACCAGTAGTTAAAAATAACTTTATAGACAGAAATGGCATAGTAAATCCACAATAAATTAATACAGTTAATTACTGTCAACCACAATTTGGCTATTGAATTTCAACAGATACTATCATCGATTATCATATAGTAACCCAACTCCTGCTGTCATCATACATCACATAGTAACCTGACTCCTCCTATCCTCATTACATCACATAGTAACCTGACTCCTCCTATCATCTACATTGCATAGTAACCCAAATCCTGCTGTTATCATACATCACATAGTAACCCAATTCCTGCTATCATCCTACATCGCATAGTAACCCGACTCCTGCTACAAGGATCATGTGTTAATATTTGTATTATTTAATATGTACTTGGTGTGAAATATCTTCCAAGATATAACGTTTATGTCAATGAAAATATATTTTTCATTGCAGTTTGATGTTTGAATATAATAATTTTCCAATCAGTAGTTATGCATTAGGCTCTCAGCTGATGGGAAATTAAATCTTTAAAACTCTTTAGCAACCTGGTACCAAGATGCATTTCAGATTTAAAATCAAAAGATCGATTGATAGAATTTCCTGAACAGACCAAGAAATACTTCGATGGTTTTTAAGATTGCGTT